GAGGCGAGGAACGTTACCAACAGCAGGGTCCTATTTGAAAGATGCGGGATGGAGTCTGCAGCTTGAAGACGGGATGCAGGAAAAGACGAAAAGCTTGTCTAAATTATCCCCTTTTTCTCACACGGGGCAGAGAAGAGCAGGAGTGGTGGAAGCCGCGCTTTTCGGAAAGCTAGTCAACCAAAGCCTCGGGTCGCCTGGCTTGGGAACCCCGTTAGTATTCCGGGGCCTCCGCACCGGGCCGGAACTCTAGTGTCAAAACTCGTGGTTTGGCGCCGGGATGTGAAAGCAGCTGGACTTACACCGGGAAGGCGGAGTACCCGGTGGGGAAAAGCTGGGGACCCGTCGGAAGCCACTCTTGAGCTTGGCGGGGAGGGCATGGGGGCCTTCGCTGGCGGTTTGTCTGTCCAGGACGTGCGTGGGCGATAGAGCCCTAGCAGGTGAGGGTTGGGGGACCACCTCGCCGCAGCATGGCCCGGACCGCTCCCGCGCTCGGACTGGGAGTTTATCGCCAGGGCTCTAGAGTTAGTTTTGCCACTTTCTAGCTGTATGACCTCGGGCAATTTTATCTTGGAACCTCCATGTTCTCATCTCTGTAATTGGAATAATAATAGTACCTTTCTCAGAGTTGTTGTGACGAGTCAATGGAAATACACTTAGAACAGCTTTTGGCACATGGTAAGCCCTGGATATATCATCTTTGTAAAGCCTGCTCCATTTAGTTGCGTGGGTTATGTCGCTGTCAAAAGTCATCAACTTCGGGCTGGGATCATCCGTTAGCGGATTTGACTTTATTGGTTAAAATATGAAACAAAACATTTGTAATTAAAGTTGTATTATTAGAGAAGTAACAACACTACTGAGTGTTTGGAAAATAGGGTGAATGTTACACAGAATCCCATCATCCTACAGGAGACTAAGACTTTTATCCCCCCCCCCAAATATTTTCTGTACTTTTAAAATTTTATTTTGACGGTACATTTATTAAAGCTGGGGACAGTGAGACAAAGAAGGGCTTAGCATAGAAGAAGCGACGTAGAGAGACTAGGCGGGGCTGCTTCTGCTCTTTAGAAAGGTTATGGGGAAGAAGTGAGCCAAGTCCAGGCTACTCCCAGCTCACTGGAGAGTCAGAGAAAAGGGGTACTTGGAGGCAGGTTCAGGGGATTAACCTGGGACAAACTGCTGCTGCCAATTGCTCCCTGGTTGCAAGTCTCTTGGGGGGGTGGTGCTTACAGTTTAGGAGATGCATGCCTGTGGGGGAAGAAGAGGGGGAAAGGAAAGGCACTAGTGTGCTCCTGGGACGGAGAGTGCCTCTGTACATTTTTATATTTCTGTTAACATACATGGTTTGGCATTGCATAGTTTATTTCTTTTTAGGGGAAACTGGAACAGGTAGGAGAGGGGACTATCTAGTGTTCCTGGTTCTGGCAGCACTTATGAAATGTTGCTAGGAGCAAAGTTGTTATTTACTAGAGCTATAGAAGTTATATTGCTAATGCTTTACATATAGAGAGGCAGCAGCATCGAGTGGAAGGACTTCAGTCCAGTGTTCTAGCTTCCATACTGGTTAGCAATGTGAGTTTAGGCAAGTCACTTCATCTGTTGGTGTCTTGTTTCCTAGAGAAAGGAAATATCTACCTGCCTTGTCTTACAGGAGTCATATACGCATTAAATGAGATAATATGTCAAAGTGATTTGAAAATATTAAGAGCAGTATTTAAACATGATGGTATTAGTGCTACTGTTGTTTAGTTTCTATCTTTTGAGGAGCTCAAGTAATGACTAATAGTCAAAGCCTTGTTACTCAGAGTGTGAACCTTGGACTAAGAGCTTGTTAGATATGAAGAATTGTGGAGATCTGTTAGACTTACTGGATTAGAGACCCCTCATATAGCCATCATTCCATCTGATCTTCAGAAAAATCTCTTAAGGCAGTAAGGGAACTGTTAATGCAGCCTTACCCCCAAGGAAATGGAGACCTCAAAAGATCAACTGCTTTACCTGAGGGTAAGCAGCTTTATTAGGCTTAGCATATCAAATTGCCAGTATTCACAATGCTCAGAACCTAATAAGAGGGCAGAGCCAGGTGTTACGTCGAAGTTTTCTGATTCCATATTCAGTGCACACTCTAAGTCCCTTTTTTTTCCCTTTTTCTTTTTTAATCCTCATCCGAGGATGGATGGATGGATGGATATCTATCTGTCTATCTGCCTGTCTGTCTGTCTATCTATCTATCTATCTATCTATCTATCTATCTATCTATCTATCTATCATCTATCTATCTATCTATCTATCATTATCTATCTATCTATCTATCTATCTATCTATCTATCTATCTATCTATCATCTATCTATCTATCATCTATCTTTATTGATTTCATAGATTGGCTGCCTCCTGCACACCCCCTGCTGGGGATCGAGCCTGCAATCCAGACGTGCCCTGATCCGGATTGAACAGCCATCTCCTGGATCATAGGTTGATGCTCAACTGCTTAGCCGCTGAGCCACACCAGCTGGGAGAGAAGCATCAATAGGTTGCCCCCCGTATGTGCCCCAACTGGGGATTGAACCCACAACTGGGGATTGAACCCACAATTGGGGATTGAACCCACAACCTTAGGTATGTGCTGTGACCAGGAACTGAACCTGCAACCTTTTGGTGTTGCAGGTGTTTGGAGAAAGATGCTCCAACCAACTTGGCTGGGACCTTTAAGTCCCTCTTTTTACGGACTGCTAACATGTCAGTTAGCTTAGGTCCTGGAGTGAATTAGTTGAATACTTTATTTTAGAAACCAATTATTTCTTTAAAAATCCAGTTCCGGCAGAGTTGCCAAAAAACAAAAACTGAAAACAAAGCAAGCAAACAAAATTCAGAATAAAACTGTTTTAAAATGGACACAATCTTGCCCGGCCGGGTGTGGCTCAGCGGTTGAGCGTCGACCTAGGATCCAGGCGATCAGGGTTCTATTCCTGGTCAGGGCACATGCCCGGGTTGCTGGCTTGATCCCCAGTCGAGGGTGTGCAGGAGGCAGCCAATCAATGACTCTCTCATCATTGATGTTTCTATCTCTCTCCCTCTCCTTTCCTCCCTCTGAAATCAATAAAGGTATTTAAAAATAATAATAATAAAATGGACACAATCTTTTGACACACATACTTGAATTATTTTTGGGTTGATTAATCATAAACTCCATGAAGGGGCCCTGTGTTTATATTTATTTTGGTATTTTTTTCACAAGACAGTGGGATGCATTACATACAGTGCAAACAATAGTTTCATAGTAAGTCTTGGGTAAATGTTTATAGAATTAGAAAATAAGTTCATAATACGTAATCTATGTTGAGTTTGAAATTGTGATGTATTTTTTTGCTACACTGGTAACTGTTCAATGTCTCTTCTGTTATAGGCAGAATTGGGCTATTTGCTGAAGCTTTTTTCTCTGGTAGCCTAGGGAGAAATTTACATTTTGACTTTTTCTTACCATGGCTTTGGTTCACAAATTGCTGAATGGCACTTGTATTCTCAGAAAATGCCTGAAGCCAAGTGTTACCTCGTGTCCATTTCTGAGCACTCACTTTGCAGACTATTGTTCCAGTAGTCTTCAGAAACCAGTGGCTACTTCTGGCAAAGCTTCCTCTCAGAGGAACACTGAAGGGGGTTTGCAAGATCACCAGAGAGAAGTTGCTTTGGATATAACTTCTCCTGAGGAGAAGACTGAAGTTAGTTTTGATAAAGCAATTAAAGATGAAATAAAGGACCATTTTAGGCGTTTGAAGGATGAGATTGTGAATCATTGGATAGGGCCTGAAGGCCGCCCTCTGCAAGAGGTCTTGCTGGAACAAGCCAAAGTTGTCTGGCAGTTCCGTGGAAAAGAAGATTTGGATAAGTGGATAGTGACTTCGGATAAGACAATTGGAGGCAGAAGTGAAGTGTTCCTGAAAATGGGCAAGAATAACCAAAGTGCACTGCTGTATGGAACTCTGAGCTCTGCAGCACCTCAGGATGGGGAGAGCGGTCGCAGCGGGTACTGTGCAATGATATCCAAGATTCCAAGGGTAGGTTAGGCCCAGGAGCCTGAGTTTTCTAGTGAATTGGGGTGAACTTCATTGACACCAAGAGCTTTTGTTTCTGTAAATGAAAACACCTGTATGGGGTTAAATAACCACTAGGCACAAGTGTAAAGCTGAAGCACAAGGGGGAAGTGGTTCCTGAAGACGGATTACTTGTTTCTGGGCATCACTTTGGCCCCAAGTGACGCATTCTTTTTTTTATTTTTATTATTATTACTTTTTGTCTTCACTCGAGGATTTTTTTTTTTTTTTAATATATCTTTATTGATTTCAGAGAGAGGAAGGGAGAGGGAGAGAGAGAGAGAGAAACATCAACGATGAGAGAGTCATTGATCGGCTGTAGCCCGCAACCCGGGCATGTGCCCCGACCGGGAATCGAACCCTGATTGCCTGGATCCTAGGTCGACGCTTAACCACCGAGCCACGCCCGGCCGGGCTCGAGGATATTTTTTCCATTGCTTTTTCAGAGAGAATGAAAGAGGGGGAGAGAGACGGAGAGAAACATCGATGTGAGAAAGACACATTGATTGGTTGCCTCCAGCGTGCGCCCCAACCAGGGCTAGGGATTGTGCCTGCAACCAAGGTATGTGCCCTTGGCTGGAATTGAACCTGGGACCCTTCAGTCCTCAGGCTGATGTTCTAACCACTGAGCCAAATCGGCTAGGACCAGAGCCGCTCATTCTTATGTTTGAGGTGCCTTGAGAGTTTAGACGATTGATGATGATCTGGGGAGATTGACATCTCTAATGTAGACCACAGACCCTGTGATGGCTAGGGGTTCCTTAGAGTGGAGGTAGGATCAGCCTGTGGCTTTTTATTTATTTTTATTAAAGTAAAATTAATTTTAGAGTAGTTTTAGTTTTACAGAAAAATTGCAAAGTAATACAGAGAGTTCCTGTATGGCCCTCACCTACCTTCTCCAATTGTTGTAATCTTACATTGCTGTAGTACATTTGTCACAACTAAGAAAACAGCATTAGTACATACCTATTAACTAATTCCAGACTCTATTTGGATTTCACTAGTTTTTCCACCAGTATTTTTCTGTTCCAGGATCCCACACTACATCTAGTTGTCATGTCTCCTTATTCTCCTCTTGTCTGTGACAGTTTCTTAGTCTTTCCTTATTTTTCATGAGGATTTGAGAAATACTGGTCAGGTATTTTGTAGAATGACCCTCAATTTGGGATTTTCTGATGTTTTTTTCTCCTGGTTAGACTGGGGTTCTGGGCTTTTAGGAAGAATGCCACAAAGTTAAAGTATCCTTCTCATTGCATCATATGAAAGGTACATGCAATGCCTGGCTGGGGAGCTCAGTTGGTTAGAGCATTGTCCTGATACGCCAGGGTTGAGGGTTCAATCCCAGGTCAGGACACACAACAGGAGTCAACCAATCAATGCATAGATAAGCGGAGCAACAAAAATAGATGTTTCTCTCTTTTTCTCCCCCTTTCTCTCTAAAGTAAATTTAAAAAGATATTTTTTTAAAAAAAGAAAGAAAGGTATGTGCTAGCAACCTGACTTATGACTGATGTGTTAGCCTTGATCACTTGGTCAAGGTAGTGTTTGCTGGGTTACTCCATTGTTCAGTTCCTTTTTTTCTTTCTTTTTAAAGCAGTTTATTGATTTTTAGAGAGAGAAGAAAGGAGAAAAACATCATGTGAGAGTGCAACATTGGTTGGCTCCCTCCTGCATGCAACCCAGGCATATGCCCTGACTGGGAACCGAATTGGCAACCCTCCGATGAACGGACGATGCCCAATCGAGCCACACTGGCCAGGGCTTTTTTTCTTTTTTCTATACCATGCTCTTTGGAAGCAAGTCACTAAGTTCACCCTACTTTCAAGACGGGAAGTGTGTGGGATTAAGTTGTGTCTCCTGGAAGGTGTAGTATATACATAAATTACTTGGGATTCTTCAGAAAGAAAGATTTGTTTTTTCTATCATATTTACTTACTCATTTAGTATGACTCACACTTTGGGTTATAATCCAATAGTGTGCTATTACTTTGTTGCTGAAATTGTTCTAGCTTTGGCCATTGGGAACTCTTTCAGGTTGGCTCCTGTCCCTTTGATCTGCCCCCATCCTTTTTTTGTTTTGTTTCGTTTTTTAATATTTTTATAGAGTTTCATAGAGGAAGGGGGCGGGGAGAGAAACATCAGTGTGAGAGCGAAACATTGATCAGCTGCCTCCTACTTGCCCCCCATCAGGTATCCAGCCTATAATCCAGGCATGTGCCCTGACCAGGAATTGAACTGGCAACTCTTCTGTGCCTGGGATGATGCCCAACCAACTGAGCTACACCAGCCAGGGCTCCATCCTTTGGTTTTTTGAGCACTTTTTGGCTCTACAAGATGTCCTAGTTCCCCTGTCCCAATCCTAGAATAATCCATTTCTCGAAAGAGCCCTGTTCCTTTTTTATGGAGAATGTCATTAGAGACCAATATTTGGGCAGTGAGGATGCTTGTTGCTACTGGGTTGACACTCTGTCTAGGACATCTCGGTGGACATAGCTAGGAAGTATATGTATACATACCAACCTATACATGTGGAAACACATGTCTGTAATTATTTCTATATTCATATTATGCTAAATATGAATTCATACCAATGTTCTCACTCTAATTCAGTACCATGAGATTTAGTCTGCCTTCCCCCTCTTGCTTCTGTAACTTCCCTCTGTAACAGTGGGAAACATATCCCCCCCATTTACCATTCGTTCACTTATTAGATTAACCCCAATATACAGCTTCAGGATTTTTAATGTGTAACCCTGTGAGACAACTTTACCAACTAGAATACAGTGTTTATGTATGGTTTCTTTTGTCTTTAGCCTTACAGTTTCCAGTAAGAAAATTATTTTGCAAAATTATTTAGGTCAGTTCCTTTATCTTGCCACTGGTCATATGTCTTTTTGCAAATTTGCCGATCAGGTATTGTTTCAGGGCTGCCCTGGACAGGTTCCCATGCCTGGCCTTGGCCACAGGCCCTGGTTGTTTGCTTGGATATTTTGCTTTAAGGAGAAAAACAAATGTTAGGAATAGTATTTGGCTCCCTCTGTTCAGATAATAATGAAAAAGAAAGGTAGGTATTCTTTCAGAGGCAACAAATTATGCATACAAATTATGCAAGATTTTTTTCCCCCAGGCACTGAAAATACACAAAATGGATTTGATCAGTCCATAGTAGGAAATAGTTCTATGGCTAGATATGCACTGTGGAGTAATAGAAAATGTTGATAACATTTATTAAGTGTACCTTGCCATTCCTTGTGCTGATTAGTTTTTTGCATTATCCCTTTTGTCTCTTACAACGATATTGTAAGGTATGATCATCCCAATTTTACAGATGAGGAAACTGAGGCTTGGGGAGATTTAGTAACTTGTCCAGAGTTATACACCTAGTAAATAATAGTTCATCACTGTATTCTTGAAATCAGATTACCTCTGAGATTGCTATAAATAAACACCTTTGGAAATTAATACCAAATTCCACTTTGAAAGAGAGAGACAGTATAGGTAGTTGTTAAGAACACAGATTTCGGAGTTAAACAGTATTGAACTTATCACTTATTAGTTGAGCGCTCAGTTTCTTCACCTATAAAATGGAGTACAATAGTACCTATTTCATAGGCTGTTATGAGGATTAAGTTATGCATGCAAAGTGTTTAAGTTTTCAAAAGGTGGTAGCTGTTGTTATAAAATATCAATTTTAAAACTTGAGCTCTTTCATAGTTTTCTAATTTATGGGAAGGCAGTTGTCATTAAATGACCCACTCAGAAGCCATTGCTCCTCATGACCAGGGAAAGAAAGTACATAACAGTAATCCTTTTCCATTCAGTGATACAAGTAAGTGCCTACCCCATGTAAATACTGTCCTATGCCAATCATGTCTTGAACATTACCTTAGAAACATATAACTATGTCAGTATTTTGTACTAAAATAAGAATCACTTGATTTATCTACCTCCTGTGATAGAGCTGAAAAAGAAAAATGGCTAGTGGATCCTTTTTGTTGCTACTAAAGGCGATGACTCACATTTTGCTAATAGTGGAAAATGAGGTGAAATTAACTTTCCTTTCTGTACCCTAGGGTGCTTTTGAGAGAAAGAAGTCTTATGATTGGTCTCAGTTCAACACTCTGTATCTCCGTGTCCGTGGAGATGGTCGGCCTTGGATGGTGAATATCAGAGAGGACACAGATTTGGTTCAGAGGAAGAATCAGATGTACAGTTACTTCATGTTCACCCGTGGTGGGCCCTACTGGCAGGAGGTCAAGGTAACAGCACAAGTCTTTACTGTATATGAAATTAGGTCTTTTGAGATCATGATGACACTGTAGTTTTTTTGGTTTTGTTTTGTTTTTTTTTTTAAATATAGCTACATTGATTTCAGAGAGAGGAAAGGAGAGGGAGAGAGAGATAGAAACATCAATGATGAGAGAGTCATTGATTGAGCCCGCAACCCGGGCATGTGCCCTGACCGGGAATCAAACCTTGATCGCCTGGATCCTAGGCCGACGCTCAACCGCTGAGCCATGCCCGGCTGGGCGGGTTTTGTTTTCTTATTAGTTCCCCTTGGAAGGTGTGGGAAAGGAAAGAAGGAAGAGGACCTGGGGGCAAGATTTACATAATTGATTTTTTCTTTGATTAATATAAATGTTATCTTATTAACCAGAAAATATTTTTGATAAGGATATGGGCAGGTGCATGTTAAGTCATGGGCACATCTCTGCTTTGTGCCTAAGTAGATGTTTCTTTTTACGTTTCTGCTGTGTCCTTTCTTTAAGGCAACTCTACTAAGCTGGTGTCCCTACTAAGCTAGTGTCCCTAGCTTAGTAGAGAGGCTTCCTTAAGAGGAATAAATACTTCATACTTTATAGACATCAAAATTTTTATTTCTTGGTAGTATAAGGCAGCCTTATTTTGTAAGTGAGAAGAGCTTTGAGAAGGTAAACGACGTTAACCAGGAGGAAAATAAGTGGAAATTCAGAGAGGATTAAATCAAGTGCCTATTCCTGTCTCCTGACTAGTGGAGGTTTTTAATCCTTAAACTCAAAAGAAAGTATTTTACTTATACTTAAACCTAATGCTTATCCTGGATTCCTTTCTCCCTCACCCCACATCCAGCCTATTAGTAAATTCTGTCATGTCTACTTCTAGAATACATCCAGAATCTGACATTTCTAGCCATCTCTCCCACTCTCATCCTAGTCCAGGCTTTTGGATTACTGCAGCAGCAGCTTTATCGATTTCCCTTTGTCCTCTTGCCCCCTTAAAATCCACTCTCCACACAGCAACCAGAGTGAACTTTTTAAAGTGTAGCTCAGATTATATCTCTCACATGCTTAAAATCCTCCAGTGATTTCCACTTACAGTTAGAATGAAGTCTAAATTCCTTAACATGGCCTACCGGGCCTCCAATATCAGACCTCTCTTCATCTCCAGTCTCCCCTCCTACCTCCTTCCTCCACACTGGCCCCTTTTCTGTGTCTAACTCAACAATCTCAATTCAAACTCAACAATCTCAATTCTATTTCAGACCTTTTTTTTCTTAAATATGTCTTTATTGATTTCAGAGAGAGGAAGGGAGAGGGAGAGAGAGACAAAAACATCAATGATGAGAGTCATTGATTGGCTGCCTCCTGCACATCCCCTATTGGGGACTGAGCCTGCAACCTGGGCATGTGCCCTGCCCGGGAATTGAATCTCAATCTTCAGGATCATAGGTCGATGCTCAAGTGCTGAGCCACACCGGCTGGGCTATCTCAGACCTTTTGCCCTTTGTGTTGTATCTCCTGGTATGCTTTTCCCCTCATATCTACACCGGTTTCCTCTTTTGTATCATTCACCTCTCAGCTCGAGAGTTGCCTCACAGAGACCTTTCCTGGTCCCTCTAGCTAGAGTTGCACCCTCTAACCAAGTCACTCTCAATAATATCACCCTGTTTAATTTTTTCATCAGTAGAACTTACTGTGAAGTAAAACAATTTTGTTCATTTACTTGTTTCTTTGTTTATTGTCACTCTCTACCCTGCTACCCTGGAACATAAATTCTGTAAATTCTCAGAGCAGGGACCTTGTCTGTATGGTTCATAGCTGTTTTCCCTGCACCCAAAACTGTGCCTAGCATATAGTAGGTGCTTGAAACATATTTGTGCACTAATACAGATATATAACCAAAAAATTATTATATATGTAACACCTGTATATAAGTAATATATAATTAATAAACAAAACAAGTATTTCATTATAGAAAATTTGGAAAATTCAGAAAAGGAAAAAATATCTTGTTACCACTACCGAGAAATAAAATACTATTTTTATTTTATTAAAATTTTTTAAATATGTTTTTATTGATTTTAGAGAGAGGGAGGGAGAGGGAGAAACATTAATTGGCTGCCTCCTGCACAGCCTCTACTGGGGATCAAGCCTGCAACCCTGGTTTTAATACAAACATTTAAAAAAATGGTACTGTGCCAATGCTGTTTTATAACATATATTGTACACTGAACTGAATTTTGTATACAACTTTCTGTTGAAATATATTTCTACATAATTTTAAATAAATGCATCTTTTATTACATAATAGAACACAATTTAATCTCCTGTTGTTATAATTTAGATTGTTTTTGAGTTTTTCACTATTATATCAAACTCTGAAGTAGACATCCTTAATTATTGTCTTATATTCCTGGAAATAAAATTCCTAGAATAAATAATATGTACATTTTAAAGTTCTTTGATGTACATTGCCAAATTATTCTCCATTATCACTGCTATGTAATTGTTAATGATTATTCTTTCCCAAAAACACATGTGGCCCTAATCTTTGGCTAGAAATAATAATTGTTTCCAACAGTTCTCTTTAAATTATTAGGGGAGCCCGGCCAGGTGTGGCTCAGCGGTTGAGCATCGACCTGGCATCCAGGCGATCCAGGTTCGATTCCCGGTCAGGGCACATGCCCGGGTTGCAGGCTCGATCAATGACTCTCTCATCATTGATGTTTCTATCTCTCTCTCCCTCTCCTTTCCTTTATCTGAAATCAATAAAGATACATTAAAAAAAAAAAATTATTAGGGCAAGTGTTAGGGATTTAAAAAAATTAAATGTTACTAATTGCTGTTCACTTCCTCATTAATAATTCTTTAGTAAACAGAAGTGAGATATGCAAATATTTACTCTGGTGACAGAGAGAAAAGATAGAGGAATATTATGTATATTAGTTAACTGTCACCTGTAGAGAAAAAAACAACTATTTATCCTTTTCTTTTTTACTTATTTTATTTTTATTCTGGTAGGAAAATTTTGTATTGAGTGATAGAATTTTGTTACCCTGTTATCCCTTTAATCAGTTCTTGTTATCCCTTTAATCAGATTCACCCAGTGAATCTCATTTTTACTCTGCCTGAATTATAGGTAAATCTCTGTGACTTTGTTTTCCTTTTTTTTTTTAAATTTATCTTTATTTTTGAAAGTATTACAAGTGTCCCATTCCCCCCCCCCATTGACCCCTTCCACCTCTCCCACCTCCTCCCCAGGCCTTCACCCCATTATTGTCTGTGTCCATGGGTTATGCATATATGCATATAACTTATTCGGTTAATCTCTTCCCACCTCCCCACCCCCCATTCCCTCTCCCTTTGAGATACAACAGTCTGTTGCTTGCTTCAGTGTCTCTGGGTCTATTGTGTTTGTTAGTTTCTTTTGTTCATTAGTTTCTTAGAGAAGACCCTTCAACATTTATGTAGTACTGGTTTGGTGATGATGAATTCCTTTAGCCTTTTCTAATCTGTGAACCTCTTTATCCGACCTTCAGTTCTAAATGATAGTTTTGCTGGGTAATGTTTGTTGTAGGTTCTTGCTTTTAATTACTCTGAATATTTCTTGCCACTCCCTTCTGATCTGCAAAGTTTCTGTTGAGAAATCAGCTGTCATATGGGTGCTCCCTTGTAGGTAACTGCTTTTCTCTTGCTGCTTTTAAGATCCTCTCTTTAACCTTTGGCATTTTAATTATGATATGTCTTGGTGTGGGCCTCTTTGGTTTCCTCATGTTTGTGACTGTCTGTGCATCGTGGACTTGTAAGTCTATTTCTTTCACCAGGTAGAGGAAGTTTTCTGTTATATTTCTTCAAATAGGTTTTCAATTTCTTGCTCTCTTTCTCCTCTTTCTGGCATCCCCATAATATGAATATTGGGCATCTTGAAGTTGTCCCAGAAACCCCTTACACTGTTTTCATATTTCTGGATTCTTTTATCTTTTTGCTCTTCTGGTTGGATGTTTTTTGCTTCCTCATATTCCAAATTGCTGATTTGATTCTCAGCGTCCTCTACTCTCCTGTTGATTCCCTGTAAATTATTCTTCATTTCAGTTTGTGTAGCCTTCCTTTCTCACTGGTTCTTTATTGTGTTATTGATGATTTCACTAGTTTCTTTAATAGTCTTACTAAGACCCTTGAGTATCCTTATAACCATTGTTTTGAACTCTGTACCTGGTAGTTTGCTTGCTTCCATTTCATTTACTTCTTTTTCTGGAGATTTCTTCTGTTCTTTCCTTTGTGACATGTTTCTTTGCCTCCACATTTTGGCTGCTTCCAGATGTTTGTTTCTATGTATTAGGAAGAGCTGCTGTGTCTCCTGGAATTGGTAGAGTGGCTTTGTGTGGTAGGAATCCTGTAGGGCCCAGTGGCTCAATCTCCCCAGTCACCTGAGCTGGGCCTTCTAGGTACTCCCGTGTGGGTTGTGTGCACTGTCCTGTTGTAGTTAAGCCTTGGTTGCTATTGGTGTCACTGGGAGGAATTGACCCCCAGGCCAATCGGCTGTGAGGACCAGCTGCAACTACAGACGAAAAGCTGCTGTGCTGGAGACACCCCTATGGAGCAGGATTTGCTTCAGTGGGGCTTTGGTGCTCACCAAGTGTGCCCCTTGAGTGTGTCACTCATGGATGTGGTAGGGTTGTAATCCAGCATGGTCTAAGCTGACCACCAGGTGCACTGTCTCTGGGGGTCCTAGGAGGTGCAGCCTCTGCCTATGCCCTGCCCCGGGCCACCCAGCATGAGCTACACAGCAATTCGTATATGGCTGCTGCTTGTGCTGGGCTTGGAGGTGTCCAGGAGAGGGAAACCTATGAACCAATGCAGGCTGCCATGAATGCCAGGCCTGGGGCCAGCTGCTACTTGATTGAGAGATTTTAGGGAAGTCCTAAGCATGAGGCTTGAGAGGACACTTGCATAGAAAAGCCACTGGAAATGGCCTGGATGAGTAGGGAGGGGTGGGGTCTCCTGGAATTACCAGGGCAGGGTGAAAGGTATGAGTCAGGTTGATGGAGATTCAGATATGGTGCCTGCCTGCCGGCTCTGTGGGGTAAGGGCTTGTCAAAGAAACAATGGCCTCTGCAAGCTCTTTTGTCTGGGAGAAAGCTGCCCCCTCCAGTTCTCTTTCTGATTCCAGGCAAGTTAGTTCCTCCCCAAATGTCCCAGGTTCCTTTGAAGCTGCTGCCCAGCACTGGAGCTCTGAGGGATCGTGTCTGAGTAAATCTGTGTGCAGGCCGTTTAAGAGGAGCTGCCTGGGATTCCAACAGCCTCTGCGTCCCTCAGCCCCAATCCCCGCTGGTTTTTACAGCCACAAGTTGTGGGGGACTTCTGTTCCCAGCACTGGGACCCTGGGCTGGGACCGCTCATTTCTCCGGGAAACCTCCACCGCTGAGATATTCCTCCCACTTTTCAACCCCAGGATGTGGGCCGCGCCCGTGTCTCTTCGTGATTCAGCTCAGATTCTAATCCATGTCTCTGCCCCTCTACCAGTCTCAATGTGCTTCTTTAGTTCCCTAGTTGTAGGACTTCTGTTCAGCTAGATTTCAGGAGGTTCTGAATGATGCTTGTTCTGTATTTTAGTTGTAATTTTGATGTAGTGGTGAGAGGTGGTGTGGGTACTGTGGTTACTTACGCCATGACCTTGTGGTCTCTCTCTATCCTTTTTTATGCGAGCTTTAGATTTAATGTTCCTTCTTAGCTTTATTTTTTTCCAGGCTAATTTTTTTTGAAAAATCTGTATATTTGTATCTTACTTTTTGACTAATAATATATTGTGAAGGTATTCTTCTCTTTTGCTATTAGAAAAAGCTATGTCTTTATGTATTTATCAGAGTTTATCTGAAATATAAATTACTAAATGTGAAATTGGTTGGTCAAAGTTATGACATTTCAGATTTTGTTAGACAGTGCTGTCAGCTTTCTATTGCTACATAAAAAACTTACCATAGACCAGCCGGGTGTGGCTCAGTGGTTGAGCATCAACCTAGGATCCCGGTGATTGTGGTTTGATTCCTGGTCAGGGCACATGCCCAGGTTGCGGGCTCCATCCCCAGTAGGGGGTGTGCAGGAGGCATCTTATCAATGACTCTCATCATTGGTGTTTCTCTCTCTCCCCCTCTCCCTTCCTCTCTCTGAAAGTAATAAGGATATATTTAAACATACACACACACACAAACTTACTATAAACTTAGCAGTTTCAAAAACACATTTATTAGCTCATAATTCTGTAGGTCGTAAGTTGGGACACAGTAGATCTGCGTTCAATGCTCAGGATCCTATAAGGCTGTACTCAACATGTTAGCTGGGCTGTCTGTATTCCTTTCCAAAGGCTCTGAGGAAGAATCTTCCAAGCTCATTCTGGTTATTAGCTAAATTTAGTTCCTGTGATTGCAGGGCTGCTGTCCTTCTTTCTTTACTGGCTGTTAGCTAGGAGCCACTCTTAGCTCCTAGAAGGTGCCTGAATTCCTTGCCATTTAGTTGCCTCCATCTTCAAAGCAGTGGAATATCCCTCCCACCCCATTGAATCCCTTCAAGCTTCTAATCTGTCACCAGTCAGTCCCTTTGATGGGATCAAGTGATTAAGTCAGGCCTTATACAGAATAATCTTCCTTATATAAAAGTTCCTTCATAGCAACGCTGAGATTAGTGTTCAAATACCTCAAAGAAGGTGTGTGTACACTAGAAGTTGGATGTCTTGGGGGCCATTTTAGAATCTGCCTACCACAACTGCCAGCTGCCATCTGAAAGAGTTGTAATAATTTGCACTCCTACTACAGTGTACAAGTGTCCTGTTTCTCTCCACCCCCATTTTTCTATTGAGTTGTTTAATCTTTTTTTAGTTATATATCTGTGATCCAAATGACTAGCCACTTGTCATAACTGCATATATAATTTTAGAATTAAACTATTATTCTTTTATCATTGCAATAACATATAAATGCCTCAGTTACTTACATTTCAGCTATGAAGTAAATGGTTTCTTTTTTCAGATTCCTTTCTCCAAATTTTTCTTCTCTAATCAAGGAAGAATCCGGGATGCCCAGTTCCAGCTTTTGCTTGACAAGGTAACATTTTCCTCTTTTATTCAGAACTATGTTCTCTTTAGGGAAACAGAACTCCTGAGGATGAGTTCAGTCCATTTTTGAAGGCTGGCAAATAAAAGATGGAAATTCCTACTCAAGGCTACCCCTGTAATACCCGGACAGATGTTGACACAGATCTATCCTTTGAGCCAAACCCCCATCCTGGAGAATTTCATTATGGTCTTCATTTTATTTTAGCTTTAAAGAGAACAGTATTAAGAGTTCAGGAGAGCTTCAGAAACCTGCACTAGACACCCTTGTTGTCCTCACTACTCTTAAGTGGCACTACATTAAAGGAGAAGGAAAGGACGTAGAATGTGGAAAGAAAAGCAGCCCAGTATTCCCTCTTATAATTTGCTACAGCATGTGAGAACTATGGTATATTTGCTCAGGGCTGAGAGTATAAGGACCCAGCTATAGTAATCCATGGAATTTTAAAACTCTAGCAACATCAGTATGCAATTTTGATCAATTTCTCTATTTTAAATTTAGATCTCTTCTATTGGATTCACCCTGGCTGATAAAGTGGATGGTCCATTCTACCTGGAAATAGATTTTATTGGAGTGTTAACTGATCCAGCCCACACAGAAGAATTTGCTTATGAAAATTCTCCAGAGCTTAACCCAAGACTTTTAAAATAGAGGTCATGTGGTAGTTTTGTATTACTAAACTAAGGGTAATAGTATCCATGATGATTCAGAGACAAAATAAAGTATTTCATTAGTGGCATCTGATCAGTGGCTGGTATATATTCCCTAAGACAAAGCTAAATGCTGCTCCTAAGAGGGACCTTATAGAGGGAAACCAGGTTCTAAACTGTACCTTAACTTAGAGAATACAAGTATTATACTGATGCAGAGATACTATGTAAATAACTTTTTGGTTAGAATGATTCCTATTAGAAACAATTCCTGCATGGTTTCCAAAGCAAGAAGTCTCTGAGATGACTGTTGATGGACTTCTACCACTCTATTCCTTATAGGTTTCTTCTGTTTTCCAACCCATCTTTGAGGAAGGGAGACTGCTAAAAAATATTGATACTATTGAAGTCACAGAGAAAAGACATACCTACTGTCTTAGTCTGCTAGGGCTGCTATAACAAATTACCATAGACCAAGTGGCTTAAACAACATACATTTACTTCTCACAATTTTTGGGGCTGAGAAGTCCAAGATCAAGGTACCTGCATATCTCTTGAATGCACCAGATGGTGAGTGCCCCCTTCTGGTAGACCTGTGAATATTTGAGTGTGTGGGTAACATACCTGTGTTTTTTGTTTTAATATCTTTATTGATTTCAGAGAGAGGAAAGGAGAGGGAGGGAGAGAGAGAGAGAGAAACATCAATGATGATAGAGTCATTGATCAGCTGTCTCCTGCACGCCCCCTACTGCAACCTGGGCATGTGCCCTGACCAGGAATCAAACTGCAATCTCCAGGATCCTAGGTTGATGCTCAACTGCTGAACCACGCCCAGCTGGGCTCATTGGTTGATTCTTGCTTGTGCCCTGACCAGGGATTGAACCTGCAACCTTGGTATATGAGGACAACACTCTAACCAACTGAGCTACCCAGCCACGGCCACAGAGTTTGCCTGTTTTAAATGTACAAGTCAATGGTTTTTAGTATATTTACAGAATTGTGCAATCTTTACCACAAGGTAATTTTAGAAAATTTCCATTGGCCTAAAAAGAAACCCCAATGTCCCTTTGTAGTCACTGTCCATCCCCACCCCCAGCCCCTGGTAACTACTAATCTACTTTCTCGATGCTTATCTTCTTTGGATATTTCATATAAATAGAATCACATAATGTGTGATCTTTTGTGTCTGGCTTCTTTTCGCTTGGCATAATGTCTTTGAGGTTCATCCATGTTGTAGCATGTTATCAGTACTTGGTTCCTTTTTAAGCGCATAACTTTTTTAATCAATTGATGGAGAGTTATTTTCTCCATTTTTAAAAAAATGTTTTATTGATTTGAGAGAGAGAGAGATAAAAACATCAATAATGAGAGAGTCATTGATCAGCTGCCACCTGCACGCCCCACTGAGGATCAAGCCCCCAACCCAGGCATCTGCCCTGACCAGGAATAGAACCATGACCTCTTGGTTCATGGGTCGATGCTCAACCACTGAGCCACTCAGACCAGGCTTTTCTCCACTCTTTGGTTACTTCAGATAATACTGCTATAAACATTTTCGTATAAGTTTTTGTGTGGGCATGTGTTTTCATTTCTCTTGGGTATATATACTAGATGTAGAATTGCTGGGTCACATGGTAGATGTGCATTTAACTTTTTAAAGAAACTACTAAACTGTTTTTCAAGGTAGTTGTATAATTTTACTTTTTCAGCATCAGTGTATTTGACAGCTACCCTAAACTTTCTTGATCGATCTGATCTCTGCCTCTTGATAGCAAAATCTAAGTTTATTAAGCTCCCAGGAGTATGTCATGTTCTGTGGATTTGTATATGTGAAAATAGAAGAGGAGGCCATAGGCTTTTCTTCTTGGGGTGGGAGTGAGTGGTCAGGAAACGATGCATGAAGAGCACAAACTTGTTAATCTTAGCTGTTCAACTAAATCTTGGAAGCCAATTATGTTTACAAAGAATGAATCTACCACCATGAGAAAAAAATTTTATTTATGAAAATCTGAAGCAGTACGAAACTCAGAAGCTCCACTTAGGTGCAACAAACATGGATATGATGCTAAGCAACTCTCGTTTTTCCATAAATTGAATACAATTTAATTCTGACAGCATAGTAATCCTTAAAGCAGCAATCCTCAAATTTCAACATGGCCCTGTATATTGTTAAATAAGCAAAGCTAGAATGAGCTACAGAGTTTTTGTTTTTAAGACTATAATGAGTGAGATAACAATTACATGGAGTGATAGGAACAAAGGTGTGTAAGCTTGGGAACAAACCACTTCCCATGGGTAAAATATTGATGCCATAACTGACCTATATGGCCCACAGTTTCATTAAAATGACTAAATTCTCTAAAGAATGAAGAGGTAACTTTTCCCAACTTACCCTATTCATAAGTGATTACTGTTCAATTTCTACTAAAGCTTGTGGTATAACAAGCTATCGTTAGGTAAATGCTCTCGCCTAGAAGAGGACTGCAATTCTGCTCATATTAGAACCAGCAGGGGGAAGTTGACATTAAAAATCTAGGTCAAGAATCTATAGAATGGAAAAAAAAGAACCTATAGGATGGGTCTCATTGGAAAACTGACTTGTACAGGGGCTTAGGTTAAAACCATTTTGAAAAGTGTGTGAGCTTTAAGGTAGTAGCATCTTTTCAGAGATTGTAGCATGTGAAGAACCCGACACTACATATTATGAACAAAGTTAAGAGCAGAAAAAGATCTTTTGACTAAAGTGGAAAGGACAGTATAAAAATATTTACAAAAAAAGGTTCAGAGTAAAGGAATATTTACAGAATGTTAAACTATTAATCTGCAGCCATAGTGAGGCCCCTTCGGGTTCCCAAGACCTTTGCTTTCTTCTCCTTTCGTTCTTGCTCATGTTTCTTCCGTTGCTCCTCCCTAAGAGGGACAGGTGCACATTAGGCTCTAGTGAAGCTCCACAATGTCCAGACTTAAAATGACATCTAGCACACTTGTGTAAAACACACTTATAGGGATGCTGCAGTCTATCTGGTGGTCGTGATGAAAATCATTGCTGTGTTAAAGGGCTATAAATTGGTATTTTCCTTTTTATCTTAATGCAGCACTCTAAAGTCAAGCACAGAACTGAAACCAGAAGGCACCTTAGTGCTTGAACCCAACCCCTGTAGTTTTTGTTTTAATTAATAAATCTCTACCTCTGAAAGTCAAAGGTCAAGCTCAAAATTACACAGTCTAGTGAAAATGCTGGAACTAGGAACCAGGATCTGACTTAAGCCACTATGTTTTAATGAAAGGATTGGTGGTGGTGGTGGTGGGGAGGCCCCAGGATCATGTTAATGATCTTAATAGTAAATGTAGTTGGAAACCATGCAGATGCTTGGGCCCCACCTCAAACCTACTGAATTAGAACCCACTGTGGTGGGGCCTAGGCATGTGTACTTTTATAAAGTTCTATATGTGATTCTAGCATCTTCTTAAACACCACTTACTGAGACTCTCATCACTAACTGTCCCTCAGAGGCTCTGCTTTTATATACATTCTTTCAAAATTAAAAGAATTATAGGACTGGATAATTATGTACTCACCTGGTCTGGAGACGAGGTTGTTTGTAAGTTTTCTTGTGGAAGCTAACCCTGTTTACACGCTCATTCAGAGACTTATTTTCTTTAGATTGTCCCCATGGTTTCAGTTTTCCTAGATTAGGACAGACAAAGACAGATTAATGAAGATTCTTGTATTTATAGCCCCAACTTTATTCATCTGTGGCTACTTGCTTGCTATCAACATCTATACTTTTTTTTAAATAGACATTTGCCAATATGTCTTTCATTAATTTCAATTTCATATTCCACAGATATAAATTGCATTTTTTTCTCTAAATAATGTGTTCTACTTTTTAATCCTTGGAAAGTCACAAAGAAAACCTTAATATTAAAAACAAACAAAAAACAACTCCCATTACATAGCACATTAAAAGAAGCAATCACAACTAAGTAGTTTATTCCAAGGTTGCATAGGTATCATGATTAATATTAAAGTGGTATTTAAAAAAAAAAGGTATTTCACTTATGCAGCTTGTTATTACCGTTACCTAGTAAACTGTATTTGGAATGGAACAAGTGGGAATATTTTGTTGGCTTTAGAACCGGGACCAAATTTCCAGATGTTTATGTATTGCTTTATTTATTTATTTAAATATATTTTTATTGATTTCAGAGAGAGGAAGGGAGAGGGAAAGTTGAAGCATCAATGATGAGAGAGAATCATTGATTGGCTGCCTCCTGCACACTTCCCACTGGGGATCGAGCCCGCAACCCAGGCATATGCCGAGTGGGAATTGAACCGCGATCTCCTGGATCCTAGGTTGATCCGCAACCACTAAGTCATGCCCGGCCGGGCTGTATTGCTTTATTTGTATAGTTTATGGCCTATGCCTGAGTACCAATGATTATTATTTGCAGTGTTTCTCATTTTATAAAAATGACTTTCACACCCATGGTTATCATTTAATCAATAAACACTAAAATAGTACTTACTCATTTTCCCTTCCATAAAGGAACTAAGTGACTTGTCTAAGATATAAAAATAATAATAAGCACAAATGACGCTCTAATCTAGGTTTTCTCCCTTCGGTCAAAGTTAGTGGTGGTCATTCCCACAGCAAATACTTATTGAGCACCTGGTGTGTGCCAGGGACTGTTGGAGGTGCTGGGGACACAATCAGTGAACCAAGCAGGAAAAATCCTTGCTTTCTTGGGCTTACATTCGGGTGGTAGAAGTAGATGATAGTCAAGTAACATAACATCAGGTGGTGCCACGTGCTATGAAGAAATATTGACCAGGCTAAGGAGTCAAGACTGGGAGGCAGGGAGTGGAGAAAAGGCCTGACTTAATGACAGCTGAGTGGATGTCCCATTAAAATGAGGGAGCAAGCTGTGCAAAGGTCTGTGGAAACTTCTAGCTAAGGCAGAGGGATAGATAAGTTCAAAGAACTGGAGGTGGGAATGAGCTCCGTTTGTTTAAAGAGCTGAAACACTAGTGTGGTTGTCCCAAAGTCAGGAAAGGGAGGAGGCGGTGACTGAGTTGGGAGAGAGATGGGAGACCTCAGGAGGTTCTGAGCAAGGCAGTGATGTGCTCTGTTTGTTTATAAGGTTGTAATGGGGCAAAGAGGCTATTCTAGAAGCCCAGGTAAGAGAAGATGATGAGCCCGGACGGTGTGGCTCAGCGGTTAAGCATTGACCTAGGAGCCAGGAGGTCAGGGCACATGCCCAGGTTGTGGGCTCCATCCCCAGTTGGGAGCATGTAGGAGGAAGCTGATCAGTAACGACTCTCTCATCGTTGATGTTTCTCTCTCTCTCTCCCTTTCTCTCTCTGAAATCAATAAAGATATATATAAAAAAAAAAAAAAAAAAAAGAGAGGATGACGACCTGGACCAAAGGGAGTCACAGTGGAGGGGTGAAAAGCGATCAGATTAAAGATCTTTTTTAAAGGTAGAAGTGAAAAGACTGGATATGAGGAGCAAGAGGACTCCTGGGTTTCTGCCCTGACAACTCAGTAGACAAGTCAGCAGAGGTACCATTGCCCCAGATGGGAAAATGGGGAGAAAAAATGGGGTGTGTGAGTAGCTGTTTTTAAATTTTTATTATTTTTTATTTTCTTAATATGTCTTTATTGATTTCAGAGAGAGGGGGAGGGAGAGAGAGAGAGAGAGAGAGAGAGAGAGAGAGAGAGAGAGAGAGAGAGAGAAAAACATCAATGATGAGTCATCGATCAGCTGCCTCCTGCTGAGGATCAAGCCCACAACCTGGGCCTGTGCCCTGACTGGGAATCAAACCAAGATCTGAATCATAGGTCGATGCTCAACTGCTGAGCCACGCCTGGCTGGGCCTTTTTTTTTTTAATCCTCACCCAAGGATGTTTTTTCCATTGCTTTTCAGAGAGAGTAGAAGAGAGACAGAGAACATCCATGTGAGAGACACATAGATTAGTTGCTTCCCACATGTGCCCAGACCAGGGCCGGGGATAGAGCCTGCAACCTAGGTACGTGGCCTTGGCTGTTATCGAACCCCGGAACCTTCAGTCCACAGGCCGAAGGTCTAATCACTGATTCAAACCTGCTAGGGCTCGACATTCTTTTTAATCATGAGGAGTAGGGCCAGGAATTCTAAGTGGTCAAGTAGGGTTTCCATCTGGGTCACATCCTCAGTTATGAAATTGGTTAATCTTAAGTCTTTGCATGTCTTGTACCTTAAAACATCCCCACATACCTTTGTGTGGCTCATAGTTGAGGGGACGAGACAAACTTGCTTTGAGATCAAACACTGGTCTCTTGTTGGAGACAGGAGTCTGTGCTGCTTCAGTTGTCAACTTGAATGGGGTAATAACTAAAAAAAAGCCCACACACAAAAGCCAAGGGCTTGATTAGAGGAAAAAAAGACCTGTTATAGTTTTTTTTTTAATTAAAGTATCACTTCTCAATCTTAAAAATATAATCTATATGAAAAGTCTGAAACAAATGTAGGGTTAAAAAGGACGAGAAAAGAATAACTGAAGAAAGTTAACCACCGAGATTTGTTTCCTGTGTTAGCTGCTCCTCAAATAGTGTAAACATTTTGACATTTCCTAGGATCAACTGGGAGGTTAGAATCCTGTTTAAAGAATTAAGTGGGTAATTTTTCAGGCTGTTTCCCTGATATTTACCCTTCTTAAAAATTACATATTACTAACAGTAACATTTTCATTAACACATATATAGAGACTGCAAGAAACCTAATCACATATAGATGAAAAGGCTCTGTTTGTTACTAATAACAAGAGCATCTGTATGGCTTATTCTGCCTTACCTAGTCCACTAGTCAGTAGTGTGGCATTCATTCCATGAACTCTGGGACCTGTTAGTTTAGGGTCCTACAGGACCACTTGGAGTCTGTAATGAATACCATGGTTCTCCTCCTAACCCCTGGGTCTGAGAAGGGGCTGAATGCTCTTCAGGGAGGGTCACCATCTTAGGACCCCTCCTGAACAGGACCAAGTCCTCAGGCAGATACTAGTTTTTTGTTTGTGTCTCTGGCATTTCTCTCACTAGTATAAAATGAAAAAAGCTATGGTGAAATGTTTGCTTTTGATTTTACAGGTATGGATAGGCTTAAAGAAATAGATATACTTACTTTCAGGAAGTTACAGGACTTAAAGATCAACCAACATTTTTTTTACCTGTAGCAGAATCCCCCTTTGTGGTCTGTAACTTGTTTGTTCCAAGCACAGCCTGGCCTTTTGGGGTATTCTCAGATATGGACACATGTGGAGACTTTCTGGCTGGAGTCTTGGTCAGTGAACGCTTGTATTCATTATCTTTAGTAGCAGCTGAAAACCTAAACAGAACAGTGGAGTGCAAGACATGGCTAGTGTCAAGAGCAACTTGTGTCAAGATTATAAACAAAGCCATCACCAAGCAGTGAAAGGGCCCCAATAAATACTGTTACAAAAATGAACCTCTTTTGCAGAACAGACATGCTCTTAAAACACTGATCATTTACCAACTTTTGTTATTTATAAAATATGGCTTGTACTCTCTTCTCTCCATGAATTGGCCAACGACAGTATAAGCCAGAGCTTGAAGGAGATGCCTGCAGGCCTCAAGTTACAGATTAGGAAGTACTGGAAGAAGCTCCCCTTATTTCTCCTCTTCCTGGTGATGGCAAGTCAGAGGGAACAGGAGATTGTTATGTCAAATAAGTGAAGGGAACAGATCTTACATCTTAGAAGATGTTCATTTGAGTGGTACATAAGCCCATTCTCTATTCATAACAAACTGCCACGTATGTTCTTCACTGATTCTCTGATTCATAGTTTTCCTACATTTTAACATCTCTGAAATTGGGATGTTTTTTTACAATACTAACATGTCATAGTTGGCAGTTACTTTTCTTACAGTTTATAAAATAATGGTGAGTCCTTAGATGATGGTGTCTTACATTTAAAGAATATCTACTAATGACAGATAAAAATATACATAGGGTTGTTGGTGGTGGGTTAACAGGGGACTTCTGGACTTAAAACTAGTAATTTGATGGTGATCTTGAATCAACACCCCAAATTATCACCAAACACTCTACAATAGTTAGGAAAATTGGATGTGCTAGGGCAGATGTTGTGAATTCCAGGCTGTTTTGTACATTGCAATGAAACAAAGGCTAGTCTTTGACCATAGTGTTCTTAAATAGTATTAAATACAATCAGAACTGCCAAAAGTATAGGCACCTCATATTCCAAGCTAACTCAGTAAATAGAATTCCCAACCTAAGGGCATTTTTAAGATTAAAAAACTATTTCAGCAAGCCACAGTCTTAGAGTACAGCTGCCGGGGCCTCGGGGGCTAGGGTGTGTCTCTGGAGCCAGCAGCTACAGGTCAATGCCCCCTGTGCCAAGCCCCCGTGCAGTGCCCTTTGGTGCAGGAGGCAGGAGGCTCATTCTGGGAGGGAGGGAATGTCACCTTCCATTTCAGGAGCTGTGATCAGGCCAGGGAAAACTGGCCTGGGGCATTTTTTTCCTAAGCATTTATCCTTCCCATTTTACCTGTGTATAAAAATTTTGGTTCCTTAAGTGTCTGAAACACCAATATTTTTATCACTTTCCAATTTGCACTTTGTTTCCTCCCATGCTTGCTCTCTTGACAGCTGTGGGTGTGAGTGCTGGAGCCTGGTGGGAGGTGAAGGGTAAGGGGCACCTTTCCTCCCACTGGGCGGGGCTCCCCCTCCCCTTGCCCCGCCCTCGTCTCCCCTTTTCTGTTTGTCCTTCAGAAAGCTCGAGTTGAGCAGAGTTGAAAAATCACAGGTCAGGGCACATTTTTAATTTTTCAGCTGTGTTGCCCAAAAGAACTTGACTGTAAATAAACAAGAAATGTTATACACTTAAAAAAAAACCAAAATTACGTCAGCCCTGGCCGGGTGGCTCAGTTGTCCCATACACCAAAAGGGAGTAGGTTCGATTCCCAGTCAGGGCACATACCTAGGTTCCGAGTTCGATCCTCGGTCAGGGCGAGTACAGGTGGCAACCAATAGATGTTTCTCCCTCACATCAGTGTTCTCTCTCTCCCTACTCCTCTCTCGGAAAAAATCAATAAACACATTCTCGGGTGAGGATAAAATCTATGTCACGTAATTGCACATGTTGGGGAAGTGTTACCGTGCACCAGCTCTATTAGAGCTGTAGATGCTCTTTAAAACGGAGAGAATAAAATTTTGGTATTAAAAGGAGCATGAAGATCTTCATCTGGGGGACAATCATAGTTGAGCGGTACCCTGATGTCAGGAAAGGTACAAGCAAACAAAACAGAGGGATCGATGGGCATGAGATAGCTATGATACTGCAGTGCCCAGTGGGTTACAGTATTTATGTTTTAGGATGAGTCCGTTTTTTAATCACTGCATTGGGAGATTTTCTATAGAAATTTAGCTTCAACTGTGTGTTCAAGTCAATGGAAAAATGTCTCTTTACACATCTTTGCAGGTATACATTAAAATGAAAAATATTCATATATCTTATTTTCTATCTTTATCTATGAATCAGATGTGAGCTTAGGTAAGTTGGATAAAACAAGAAAACTGGCGCAACCAGGCTGGCTCAGCGGCTGAGTATCGACCTAGGATCCAGGAAATCATGGTTTCCGGGTCAGGGCACAAGCCTGGGGTCCGGGCTCAGTCCCCAGTAGGGGGCGTGCAGGAGGCAGCCGAGCAATGACAACTCTCTCATCACTGATGTTTCTCTCTCTCTCTCCCCTTTCCTCTCTCTGAAATTCATAAAGAAAAAACAAAACGAAACAAGAAAACCAAATACAATTTTAAAGAAAAAAATTAGAATTTATAAAACCAATTTGCTGATCTTTCTCTCTGTTCCAATACTTTCTCATTCTTCCTCCCGTATGTACCCCGACCAGGAATCAAACCCGCACCCTTTTTACTGTAGGGGACAATGCTTCACTTGGCCAGGGCTCATTCTTTTTTTAATCAACATGAAAACACTTGATGTAGTCCACCTGAAATGCATTAGAAGCCGTAAAGCTCTGAGGCCTTGTCCTAGATCACATTTTGGAGTGCTTTACCTGACATTCATTTTAGTTGCTGAGAGAGTGGGGTGCCTGACCGACCCCTTCACACACAAGGTGCTCTGATCTGCAGGGCCCTGGGCCCGGCCTTGCGGGCGCAGCTGGCTTGAGGGTGTACAAGCCATAGAGTGTCTTCCTTGGAGTCCAACTGGAGTTGCCACCACGTCCTTAGTGACGGACTGCTTCTAAGAAGAAAGGAAAATCATCCTTAAAGCTTTCCGTCATCCCCACTTTTAACCCCACCTGTCATCCCTTCTCCAATACTTCACCTATCCTACCTGCCTGGCAGGCTGGGCAGTTCCTCCACCTGTGTTGCTACAGTGACTCTGATTTAACAGTAACTTCTGCTTGTGCTGAGTAATGTGTTCCAGAAAGCCTTCCCCAGGTCCCAAATACCCAGGTATTTTCTAACTAGAGAAAGAATGTGGCTTAAACAGGCCCAGTGGCCAGAAAAGGAGAATAAATAATAGGTTATCTTGGACATATGGTAACTCTGACAGCATGATATGCAGTTTATTAAATACAAACTCAAAGAAGAACCTACTACATAGTTAGTATGTGAAATCTAAAAATAATCTCACCTCCACTCCCCTCATAGTTTTAAAAAATTCTTTCTAAAAAACCTAAAGAAAAGAAGGGAGGGAAGGAAATGCTCTCTTTGAAATGGCTGGGAAGGGTTCCACTTACATTATCTTTTGTCAAGACAAAAGTAATTGAATGTTTTATTATCATTAGTCTAGGCTCTGTTGCAAGCAGAAGAAATGTAACTTCATTATCTGACAACAGAGGCAGGACTAATGAAATTCACAATGAAAAGCAAAATGAAAAAATTCTGATTATATCCTGTGAAAGACAAACTAGAGAATTATGTTAACTTGTCATCTTGACATACAAGCAGAAGAGATTCTAATGTTGTGAGACCAATGTAAAACTACAATCTTTAATAAATACACATCTTTCCCATAAGCTGAGAACCCAGATTAGATGTAGTAAGTATACCGTAGTATTTAATCACACCTTTTATGCCTTCTATGTGTCCTCTAAATTTCCCCTTTCCACAGTCTCCTTGCAGTCCACACTTGGTGCCAGGACCATCTACTCTACATCTTTGTTTGAGCACCATATAATGTATAAATGATTCTAATTGCACTGAGAACCAATCTCTTTGCCTTTTTTTCAGGTACAACATTATATTGCTGATTCTAATAGTATTAATTCATTTTCTTAGCAATGTATCCAATCAATTCCTCCCTTTCTTTTAGCAATAAAAATCCTGTTCTAACAAAGCAAATAACTCAATTATATCACATATGAAAGTAAAACATAGGGCCCTGGACGATGGCTCAGTTGGTTGGAGTGTTGTCCCATACACCAAAAAGGTTGTGGGTTCAATTTCCAGTCAGGGCACATACCTAGGTTACGGGTTCGATCCCTGGTTGGGGTGCGTATGGGAGGCAACCAATCAATGTTTCTCTCCCTTCCTCTCTCTAAACATATCCTCATGTGAAGATTAAAAAAAAAAATTAAACAGGGAAAAATAACAAAAGCAGTAAATATAAATATAAAAATACATTTTCATGATCTTGGGACAGGCAGTGCATCAAAAGAATTCAGAGCCTTAAAAGGAAAAGTTGGATAGATTTAACTAAAAATAAAAAAAAAACACCTTCCACAAGGTAAAAGACACCATTAATATAAAGATAAACTGTGGGAAAATATTTGCAACATACAATATATATCATTAATATAGATTAATGGCTCATAAGTGTACAAAAATTTAAATTAAGCATTCAAAGAAAAAAGCCAATTATAACATAGAAAGATATATAATATATAAATAACATAACAGAATGATCAACGAAATATCAATTCAATTGATATTTATTTCATATTATCAAAATTTTAAAAATTTGATCATTACCACTTTTTTTTTCATTTTTTAAAAAAGTACATCTTGCCCGGCTGTGCGTGGCTCAGTGGTTGAGCGCTGACCCAGGATCCAGGCGATCAGGGTTTGATTCCCAGTCAGGGCACATGCCTGGGTTGCGGGCCCGATCCTCAGTGGGGGGCGTGCAGGAGGCAGCAGATCAATGACTCTCTCTCATCACTGATGTTTCTCTCTCTCTCCCTCTCCCTTCCTCGCTCTGAAATCAATAAAGATATATTTAAAAAAAAGAAAAAGATAAGCTACTCATTTATTCAACACATCTTTAAGGCCACATTCAAGTTTATGGTTGAGGCAGTTGTTCTACCCTTAACTTTTAGCTGGAAAATTAACTCATCCATCTTATGTCATATAGAAAGCTTGACTTTCAATCAAGTACATAAGTAGACCTAATTTCCTGGTAAGGAAAATGAGTGGCCCTGCTTCCAAGGCATATTTCCAACTACCTAGTGCCTATGCAGAAAAAGCTAAATGCCTACTTTCTGTAAAGTGTCAGTATGGGCCTCCTGTCCCAGTATTCGACTGTGAATGTAGTGATACCTATCCCTTTCTAATATTTATGAAAGTATTCTAACCATATTAAATATCTCCTGTCTGGATTCTCCACCCATGTTGTTTGATCAGTATGAAGGAACGGAGATATTTAATGCCATGACTTGGCTTTGTCACTGTTTGCTTGAAGACTGATAAACAGTGCCTTCAACTGTGTAACAGTGGTTTTATGAATACCGTTCCAATGTTTATTAGCCAAGATTAAGCTTCTCACTAAGAAGCTTATGTTATTTTAAATCATTTAGAATTAACTTACCACCCAGTGCATTTCCCTGTTGGCATTAGTATCAGAAAACTCAAAACTCAACTGAGTAACTGATATAATAGACAATGTACCTGCTAACAGCGCTCATTTTCTGCCCCTTTCAAATCGACTTTATACTGTAATAGCACAAACTGCCTTAAATTCTTTTTAGAAATAGGCAGGTGGTTGGTTATGTATTACTAAAAATTCTAAAATAAATGTTTCTAAGGCTCCCCGCTTGGACACCAGATACCATGTAAGACAATAGCATCAACTATCTAGGATGTTATCAGCTCACTACTCTGCTAACTCAACCTTGGGGCTTGACTTTGTCACCTTTTCTTACTTGAAGGGGCCGAGTCCAGGAAGACCTGGATTGAAGGCCCGCCAGGGAGCTCAGTCATCACTGAGCCTTTAAGTTAGACACTGCTAGTCACCCGTTTTCCTTTAGGTGAAAGGGAAAGCAGATGGATTCAGCTATAAATGAAGGTGATAGGCACAATGTCTGAATGCGGAAAACACAACAACTTATTGCCACTTTGGAATTCATTCTGTATAGTGAGGACTCACTATTTCATCTGGAGGGTTTTGAAAATTCTCATGGTGGGGGAAAGCAATTTAAGATAATAAAATTCAATAAACTCAAATCCATTCCACTAATGGAGTAATAGAAAGCTGGCTGTATTAACCATGGTGTATATGTGGTATTGACATTAAAATAAAATATTTTAGTCCCATTAAGAACATAATTACCTTCAGTTCATTAAAGGAATTGTGTTGTTCAAAATGTTTCTTTTTTCTCTTAATATATTGATCAATGGACTCCATTTCCTTAAAACGGGCCTCATGAAGCTTCTTAAAGTCTAGAATGTTCCACAAAATATGAAAATTAATAACAAGACAAAATCCATTTATTCACCTTCCCTTTGTTTTTCTGTTAACACTTATTCACTTCTCTGCACCCCTAACATTCAATTTCAACATCATCTTTGCCAAAACTTTAATTTCAAAACATTTAGTTTTTGGAAACTCAGGGGCAAAACATATACTGCTGACATCTTGGTTTAGTCCAGAGGATAAGAAAAGAATACAGTGGTCCCTCGGTTTTCGAGTGTAATCCGTTCCGGAAGACCTTTTGAGTTTTGAAATGTTCGAAAGCCGAGGGATCCATAGCCGACAGCTGGGCCTCAGGATCCTGCCCTCAGCGGAAGCCACATGCCATGTCCGACTTCTGAGGTGAGTTCGAAAACAGAAGCACTTACCTCTGGGTTTACGGTGTTTGTAAACCCAAACGTTTGTCAACAGAGACGTTTGAAAACTGAGGTGCCACTGTAACTGATTTGTCCTCTCCCCTCACCAATTAATTAAATGGCCTTATTTAATCATAAATTTGATGTTTTAAAATGCCTAGAAAGCTCTATGCCAAGCATTGGCACACGTTTTCTGTAAAGGGCAGATAATAAATATTTTAGGTTTTGTGGCCACAAATGGAATGGTCTCAGATTCTTTTTTTATACAACCCTTTAAAAACTATAAAAACCATTCTTAGCTCAAGGGCTATAAGACAGGCGAAGGCAGGAAGTAGTCTGCTGACCCCTGTTCTGTGCTATTCTAAAAAAAAAATACACACACACACACACACACACACACATTCCAATTAAGAATATTTTAGTTAAGTACCTGAATTTCTAATATATGCTAAGCAGCATTCTAAGTACTATAAACATATAACAATCAACATTCTATGTGCCAAGCAATAGGGACAAACAATTACATGTCCCAAAATGGAGTCCCTTAGACTTATTATTTTAAAAAATAAAATAAAAAATTTATTACAAGGTAGACACTATGCCAAGTACTTTACAGACATTCATTCTCAGATATTTATTGAATACGTGCTATATACTAGTTACTGTGCTAGGTAATCAGAAGTGGAAAAATAGTCTCAATTAATCTAAATATCAACCTGATGAATAGGTAGTACAACCATTCCCACTTTCAACTGAAGATTACTGAGGATAAGTAAGTTGCCCAAGATATCACAGCTAGAAAACAAGAGCACGCAGATGCCAGCCCGGTTCTGGCATCCCACTTCCAGCTGTGACAGCACACGGACTCGCCAACATCAGCCTGCAAAGCTTACTTGGAGTAGTGCTTGCAATTCTTTTATTTTTTCCAGATTTGGAAAACCCATCTGTGTAGACAGTCTTCTTTCTTTCTGAGGGTACCTTTGAATCTTCAGTACCTGAATACAAAGATACAGAACTAATGAAAAGATTTCAACAGATTCTTGACAATAAAGAAATGTCTGACAGTTAACATGAGCATTTTGATGTGATAGGCTCTGCCAGGGCGGTGGGAGAAATGGCACATGAGGAGCACAAAGAATTCGTTTATAGCATCACTAAAATTTTAGCTCATATGCTTCAAGTAGGCAGAAATTTTGTTTTCTGTATAGTAGTTATACTAAACATTTTAAAACACTTTTTCAGAACTTTTGCTATAAACATATTATTCTAACTAGAATGAAAAAAATCACACAATCCCACCAGCCTTAGAAACACCATTAGCTTTCTGGCATGTATCCTCAGGCAGACCTCAGAGATACTGAGGATTCTGTTCCAGACCACCCAATAAAGCAAGCAGTAAATTTTTTGCTGGTGGAGGGTCTTGCCCTGAATTTGTAAAAAAAAATGCAACATCTGAGGAGCACAATAAAGTAAGGTATGCCTATACTTGTTTCTTTTTTTTTTTAAATCTATCTTTATTGATTTCAGGGGGAGGGAGGGGGAGAGGGAGAGGGAGAAGGAGAAGGAGAGGGGGAGAGAGAGAGAAAGAAACATCAATGATGAGAGAGTCACTGCACTGATTGGCTGTAGCCCGCAACCCGGGCATGTGCCCTTGACTAGGAATCGAACCCGAGACCCTTTGGTGCAAGGGCCGATGCTCTAACCACTGAGCCCCACCAGCCAGGGCTAAATGTGTTCTTTTAATCTGCCTAATTTGTAGCACTTCATTACAGCAATGATAGGGATATAAGGCACGTGGCTGCCCTAGCAATTTTGGATTTTTTAGTTACTTGGCATACCATTTATTTCACTCTTTCCCGAGGACACCGCATTCTTATCTCCTTGTCTATCATCTGGTGGAGAAGAAATTTCTACAACAGTTCTGAAAGCCTGATTTTCCTCCTTTTCTTGAGTCTGGAACTCAGTTGGATCACTTGTTTTTACCTGTAAAGGATCCTGGTACAAATTTTAAAAGGAAATAAATGACTTAAATGATAAATAAGAAGTCATCACATTTGAAAGTTGCTAAAAAATAAATCTTAAAAGCGCTGATTACAAGAAAAATATTTTTGTAACTATGCACGGTGATGGATATTAACTAGACTTACGGTGCTCATTCCGCAATATATAAAAACATCAATTGAATCATTAGGTTGTACAACTGAAGTTAAGTAATCTTATGTCAATTATATCTCAATTTAAAAATATAACATTAACAATTTTAAAAACATTGCTTATGGTCATATATTTAAAAAGAACAGAGAAATAATCAGTACCTTCAAAGATGAGTACCAAGCTGAGGGAGGAAAGGAGTTAAAGAAAAGTAGGACAATAAGATTACTGAGTGGCAGGTTTGGTTCTCTGTCTCAAGTGTCACAAGAGTGTGAATTTGGAAGGAGGAGATACTAGGGACCACTGGAAGGCATAATGGCAGGAGAAACCCTCTTAGGGATTCGAAACCAACACTAAGAGACCCAGACAGGCGAATGACTAAGGGACTGAACAAAGCTAGAAATGCTAGGACCATGTATTATAAAAATTATATTGGAATGAAAGGACAATACAATTAGAGTCCTCTCAAAGCAAGTGAGGGAAGCCCCTGCAATAACATGGCCTCGCTGCTAGAAGACTAAAAAGAGCGTGATAACCAGGCCTGGGACAGGAGAGGAAAGAAGGGGAAAAAAATCATATTTAATGTTGGCTTCTTTCCTTCTTATTTACTACACCTCACGTAAGTAAAAACTTAATGAAGGTTCATACTTCTTCAATAAGTATATAATTTGTGCTTAGACTTAATAAGTGCTTCCTGAACGCCAGCGCCTGGGGTTTGATGATGAGCATCCTAGACTTGGGGCTGTGCACTCATGGACCACTACCTGATAGCATAAGGAAATTAACAAAAAAGTTCCCTAAGAATATACCAATTTTGGCACAGGTGATGGCTTGTTTTCAGTTTGCACACTTCCATCTACCTGGGAGTCAGGATTCCTGTGGGCAGTCCTGCGCCTTCTCCTTGTTTTGGTGACATGGCTCGCCAGCTCCCTTTCAGCTTGTTCCTGGCTGCTAATTTGTAGCTCGGTTTCATCACAAGAGGATGCAGAAGTCTGACTTTCATCCTGAAAAAGAGAGAGATTAATCTGCCATGCCCTATGTATAGCGGTATAATGCTCAGAAGAATCAGCATTTAAACTGAATAAAAAACATATATTACAGCCCTGTACAGTTTTTCTCAGTGGTTAGCATGTTGGCCTACAGACTAAAGGGTCCCAGGTTCGAGTCCCACCAAGGGCATGTACCTCGGTTGCAGGCTCCATCCTGGCCCTGGTTGGAAGTGTGCAGGAGGCAACCAGTTGATGTGCCTCTCTCACACTGATGTTTCTCTCTCTCCCCCTTCCACTCTCTCTGAAAAGCAATGGGAAAAATATCCTCCAGTGAAGATTAAAAAAAAATAACAATAAAAAAGCATATTACATATGCAAAAGATATTTTTAAAATTTTTGAGCACTCGTGGCTGGGTGTGGCTCAATGGTCGAGTGTCAAACCGTGAACCAAGAGGTCACTGGTTCGATTTCCGCTCAGGGCACATGCCCTGGTTGCAGGCTCGATCCTTAGTAGGGGGTGCGCAGGAGGCAGCCGATCAACGACTCTCTCATCACTGATGTTTCTATCTCTCCCTCTCCCTTCCTCTCTCTGAAATCAATAAAAATATATTTAAAAAAAAAAGGCAATTGCAGTACCATAAACTAAAAAGTAAAGAGCTACTTTATCAAAACAGTACAGTACAGGTACCAAAACATCTCGAACAGACCTGCTTATATACTAAATCATTATGTGATAATGGTCACACTTCATATCATGGAGGAGGCTAGACTTATTATTCAACATATGATGGTGAGAAAATTGTTTTTAATATTTTGGGAGGGGGGCCATGAAACTCAATCCTTCTCTCATACCACAATGAAATCTGAATGTATTAAAGATTAAAAAGTAGAAGCTGAAACAATAAAAGCACTAGGAAAAAAAAATAGGTGAAAATATTATCATAACCTCACATGAGGGAGGCTTTCTTACCTATAGACTATAAAGGAAAGATCTGATTTGTTTTGGTGCTTTTCTAATTTTTTAATTCATAAGTTCTAATTTTTTGAAATAAACTAATAGAATAAGTGAACTAATAAACATATAAAGCAGTTGGTTCTCTGCCTACCCTTCCTATTTCTCAAGCTTAATTTCGGGTGGTCACATATATCACCAGTGATTTGTAGATGAAATATTCATCTATATTTTCTGTTGTTTTAAAATGTTTTTGGTTTCAGAGAGAGGAAGGGAGAGGGAGAGAGAGATAGAAACATCAATGATGAGAGACCCATTGATCGGCTGCCTCCTGCCCATCTCCTACTGGAGATTGAGCCTGCAACCCAGGGAATGTGCCCTCACCGGGAATCAAACCGTGACCTCCAGGTTCATGGGTCAATGCTCAATCAGTCAGTCAGTCACATTGGCTGGGCTTCCTGCCCCCCTCCATACTTATACTTTCAATAGTTATTTTTGTGCCTATCAGGTGATAAAATTTAGCTCATTTGTACCATTCATCTCCACATCTTCGTCCTAACAGAATCATACCACTTTAGTCACTGTATTAGTTACCTTTGGAGCTTTAAATATTGTTCCACAACTATATACACCTAGCTTGTAAACTGCAGATATTAGCATCCTTACATTTCCCTTCACCCCTCAACTTCTGTCATTTATTCTCTTTAAGTATCCAAGCTGATACCATTTATAGCCTGTTATGTAACCTTAACTGAATCATCTATGTCCTTTCTTTGTAGCTTGATTCTAAAAGTTGATAAATCAATAAGTTATTGTAAGGCTTTTTAAAAAATATATCTTTATTGATTTCAGAGAGAGGAAAGGAGAGGGAGAGAGAGAGAGAGAGGGAAACATCAATGATGAGAGTTATTGATCGGCTGCTTCCTGCACGCCCCCGACTGGGGATCGAGCCCACAACCCGGGCATGTGCCCTGACCGGGAATTGAACCCCTATTGCCTGGATCCTAGGACGATGCTCAACCGCTGAGCCACGCCTGGCCGGTAATCTTTTTTTTAAAATTGATTTGCGAGAAAGAGAAACATCGATTTGTTGTTCCATTTATTTATGCATTCATTGGTTGATTCTTGTATATGCCTTGATTGGTGGTCAAACCTACAACCTTGGTGTATTAGGATGATGTTCTTAACCAACTGAACTACCTGGGCAGGGCCTAGGGTAATCTTTATCTTAAACTCTCTGACTACAGGCTTTCCTCAAATGTTTATGATTGTTGGTCTTTTATTCATATTCAGAGCAAAAACCTCATGAGGAGTTTGAATGTGAGTGCTTGTTATCTGGTGGAATCTGACTTACTAGGTTCCTTAGGAGGAGGCTACTGTGCTGGAGATCCTTGAACACCAGGCCTTTGCTTGATAACCATTTAATTTCCTTACACAGAAACTTTCTAATATTTTAGCTGGCAGTAAACACCTGGTACTCTACACATGGAAGTAGGGGGTAGACTGCTTTATATCCTGACTTTTCAAAAAATGATTCTCCCCAACTGATTCTCCTATATAACCGGGGTTGAGAACCACAATATAGAGTAAATGTGTTGGGAGTGAAAGAATAAGGAGGCTTGGAGTGGAAGGTTTTAGGCAGAGGTGAAGTATTACCAAGTAGTATAGTTCCAAGGGACGTAAGGTCCAGGATATGCTCAAAGAAGTGGACGGCTAATGAAGAGCAGAAACAAAAGTCACACGAGTTAAGGAAACAGGCGGCAAGGGTAGTAAGAGACATCCAAACGAACCTTTGAATTCACCCAAAATAAGGTCAGGACATGAGGTGATGAGGAAGACAAGACAGTGAACATCAGAAAGCAAAGGGGAGGTCAAGAGATGAGAGATGAAAATAGGTGAGCATAACTTCAAAGGAGCAGGGATATTTACATGCGATTAGAAAGATGCTCTCTGGATCTGACTCCCCAACTCCTGGGATAGTCATGGGGAAGAAAGTGAAAAGAAAAAGAAACTTTCCACTATAGAAGCAGTACCTTTGGGTTACACCACAGGTTACTGGACTATAGAGATGTTTTTAAAGTAATCATTCATCCCGCCCCCTATAGTAGCACAGTGCAGGACAGGTACTATAGTTGGTTTAGAAGCCTGTTAGCAAAACTCCCAAAGACGTCTTTTTTAACCCCACACACCTAAACTATAGTATATTAGTCTGGGAGGCCAACAGTGACAGGGAAGATGTGTTCATTCCTGAATGCACCATGCTGTGATTGTAACAGCTTGTCTAAATCCAAGACTGAACAGGCACACCTGGTTTGGAAGAGGGAGTCCCCAGCACAGCCAGACTAACCTACATCTAGAGGTGCTCCAACTCACAGCTAAGGCTGACCTCCAGTAGGAGAAAATAAGGCTTCCAGAGGTCTGAGGTCACTCTCACTCAGATGTGATCCACACCTGGGCACCTCCCAGGTGATGATTTGGGGGTCTGGAAGCTTACTCATTTGTCTATCCTAGGGACATAAGCAATCTCTTTGCTATGTATTTGGACTGTGCTGACTCTTGCAGGCTTAGATAAACTTTTGGTATGTCAGGTCTTTCCATCAATCTAAGCTCACTATTGACAGATTCACTACTTAGGAATTCTCTGTCTGACTGAATGTTGACTATCACCCTGCTCTTGTGAAACTTTTTCAAAATGGAATGGCCCCTGAGATGCTGTAGTTAAAATATGGTAAATCACTTTTAATTTAGTCTATCAATTACTATCCAAAGTAAAATCTTGATTTCAGATAGCACTATAATCATATATCCTTAATCATTTAAACACACACACACAAATAAAATTATTTAGTTGATGTAAAAACTTTTAATTAATTGAAAATTTGTTTTTGTTGTCTATTTAGTTAATTCAAACCTGGAATCAAAAGAATTTTGAATATTGAAAGTTTTAAAATATTTATAACTTGGAATACAGTTACAGAGACTATACAGACAGACAAGAGGAAGTTAATTTTTTAGTTCGTGTTTATATTTACCTTCATTTCCACATATATAACAGACGCTCTCTAAGGCCCAGTTCCTTAAGGCCTTTCAACATTTTCCCCATTTCAAGTTAAGAAATCTGGCCCTAATGAAGCACCCGCTGATCCTTTTAGGTGTCATGCCTTCTCAGCAATCTTTGGTGTGGATTTAAAGCAGCCATGACAACCTCTGCCGTCAGCAGTAGTTTAAAGTTTACAAAGTCTCTTGCACTGTCCTCACTCTGTTTGATTCTCACAAGACTCAATACAGCAGAGCAGGAAACTAAGAATCAAGGAGTTTGACTTTTCCCAGGTAATACACAAAAAAAGACAAAACTGCTACTTAACCTGGGTTTTTCTGACTTGGAACAAGAACAACTTATTCAACAGAGTTCAAACAAGAACAACTTATCCAACTTGCTGCAAGGTACTTTCACCATTTATAACCAAGTTATTATGAAAGGACTCACATAACCAATAATGATCTTTCTGGTAATAAACAGTAGGTCTTAAATTGTGTTTATCATTCATTAACTGAACATGATTGTTTTGCTAAACAGGTGATAAAAAACCTCACTTACCTGATTTTCTTTTCTTGCTTCCCCTCTCAGGTGGGCTTTCAAGGCTTTTAGCAACTTGTCTGCCTGCAGGAAAGTTAAAGATCTTAACAGAGCCAAAATCAAATAAGCAAGACAGACACATTGAACACTTCCTCCCGTTCCTGTAGTCATCAAACATCCTTTGGGCAGACTCTGGGAATAGAATGAAGACCAAAACAGAATTGGTCCCTGCCTCACAGATTTCACAGCAGAGTGAAGTGAGACAAGGAAAGAGGCAATGACATCGAAGCAGGGTCAGTGCCAACATGAGGACTCTCAGGATGTTTTGCAAGCACACGGCTGGGCTTGCCCACTAGGGTAGAGACTTCAGCAGGTAACAGAATACGCCAGTTCTAAGACAAAGACGTGAGGTCTAAACTGCTGAGGTCTGAAGGATGGCTAGAAGACAGTGGGACACAGGGAAAAGGGTAAAGAAATAGCACGGGAAGGCAAGAATGAGAGTGAAGTTTGAGAAACTACAGTTTCAGTGTGGCGGGAGCGTGGAGCTGTTAGAGGTGGTGAGAGAGAAGACTGGGAAAGGGGGGGGGGTGATCCCACCAGGTCTTATAAGCCTTTTAAGAGTATAATCTTTACCCTCAGGGTAAAGGGCAATCTCTGAAGAGTGTGCAGCAGGGCAATGAGTGACCGATTCTGCATTATTCACAATGATCACTCCGGCTGAACAGCAGCAGGACGCATTTGATGGGGGGTAAGGTGGAAGACAGGGACTTTCTGTTGTAGGAAATCAGAGACGACTGTGCTGAGGCAGTATGGATGGATTCAAAACCTTCCTAGGAAGTAAAATATCAACATGAATATGGGGGTTGAGGAATAGGGAAACTTTGTTATACACAGATTTCTGGCATGGGCAGCTGGTGGGGTGTGGTGGGGGTTCCTAAATGGGGAATGCCAAAGATGGGGAGGTCTTACAGAGGAGGATGGTTACAGGTCCCTGGTGAAAGAGAACGCCTAGTTTCTCTTCCCACCCCAGAAGACCTTTTAATCCAATTGGTAATGTTTTTCTATGCTTAAAAGGTCAAGCATATTAATTGTGTACTCTTTTCCTCCACTTCACCCAGTCATGCGTTTGACAGTCAGATTCCTTTCTCAAGGGGCCCCAGCCACTAGACTTGGCTCTTCGCTGGCCACATGTATCACTGGCATGTGTCCAGGAAAGAATGGCAGAGATCCTGATTTGGTCTGGGCTTCGGCACAGGAGAGGCTGTGTTTGGGGTGGGAAGCACATGCTGCAGCCCAGTTGACCAGAATGCTCAACACCATTCCAGCTAGTAATAAAGTGGTGCCTTACTTTCTACTTGCCTTTGTTCCTTGCACCTCTTTGGGGTCTTCTCTGTGCAGGGGATGATCGGGGGGGCAGAATTTAGGCATTCTTGGTTCCTCTGATACTAACATCCCTTCCCCACCACCACTTTATTGAAGTATAGTTGACACGCCAAAGCTGTGGATATTTAATGTATACAACTTCACGTGTTTGGAGATTTGGAGATAAGTACACACCTATAAAACCATCATCACTGCCATAAATTTACCCATCACCTCCAATAGTTTCCTACTGCCCCCTTTGGTGTTTTGGCCGTAAGAGTGCTTAACTAAGATCTATCCTTTTAGCAATATTTTAAGTATACAATACAGTATTGTTAATCATAAATTCTAGGTTGTTCAGATTTCCAGGACACATTGGATTATCACGAAAATCTCAAACACACAATGATGAAACGGGGTGCTTGTGGCAGAGCCAAGTGAGGGCTTCTAGCAGGTTGTATGATATGGGGTGATGCTCAAGAAGAGTTGAGCTGGAGGTATAGATGTTAGTACCGGCACATATCCATGCATTCCCTCAACCAGCATTTATGGTGCTCAACACTGTTCCAGGCACTGGAGAAAGAGTGGTGAACAAAAGAGACCCTGTCACTGCCCTCCAGGAGCCTCAAGTGGTGGACTAGTGGGGAAACCACCTATTAACCAAGTAAGCTAAAATAAATGCTATGATATCAACTGGCATGAAACAAAAACCAAAACTGATAAATGGACTGGGGGTGTTACCCAAGTTGTGATGATCAAGAAAGGCCTCTAAGAGGTGTGACTTTTGAGCTGAGATGTGAATGAGAAGAGGCAGCAGGTGAAGATGTAGGGAAGCAGCATTCCAAGCAGAGGGACACCAAACCCAGAGGCCCTGAGATGGATTGGTGAATGTGAAGGACAGAAAGAAGCCACATGGTGGAGACCAGGGCAAGTGGAGGGCAGAGAGATCAGAGACGTGACCAGAGCCTGGGTCAGTAGAGGGCTACAGGCCACAGCAAGCAGTGTGGGTTTCTTCTTCCTAACTTGCTATTATAAAAAAAGATAAGTCTATAGAAAAGTCTAAATAGTTTAGTAAACACTCTTATACTCACCACATAGATTCATCAATCATTGTCTTATATTTGCTTTCTCTATTACTATATATCTCTTGCCATGCTATTTGAAAATAAGTTCCAGACATGGTACTTTACCACTAAATACATCAGCCACATCTCCTAAAACTAAGGAGATATTTTCCTACATAACCTTGAATGCATTACCATATCTAGGAAAGGTAATAATTTCCTAATATCCTCTGATATGTAGATCATAATCAAATTTCCTTCACTCTGTCCAAGGTTAGCTGTTTTCTTCCTTCTTTTTTTGTTAATCCTCACCCAAGGATATTTTTTCCACTGATTTTTAGAGAGAGTGGAAGGGAGGGGGGCAGAGGGAGAAGGAAAGAGAGAAAGATCATTGTGAGAGAGAGACATCAATTAGTTGCTTTCCATATGTTCTCTGACCAGGGATCAACCCACAACCCAGGCATGTGTCCTGACCAGGAATTGAACCAGCAACCCTTTGGTGCACAGGACAATGCTTAACCAACTGAGCCACTCAGACTGGGCAGCTGTTTTCTTTTTTTAAAATTTCCCTCCCAATCGGGATCAAGTCAAGCTTCTCATTACTTTTGGAGGAGTTTGGATTTTAAGTGTAAGAAAAGTCACTGGAGGGCACTGAGCAGGAAAAAAATGACTCGTTTTAAGTTTCAAATGGCACTCGTCTACCAAGAGAATACTATTGTGAGGCAAGAGCAGCGGCAAGGAGCACAGGATGGGCTGAAGCAGTGGTCAAGGGACGAGGGTGTGGCTCAGGTTTGTAGCACTGGAGATGGCGCAGAGGTCAGATTTCAAGTTATTTTGGAGGAAGAGATGACAGGATGGACAGTTGTGAGCAGGGAAGAGAGGAATGAAAGTGATTTAACGTGGATCTGAACCCTTTACTGAAATTGGGAAGAGATCTTAATTGTTTTGAACTGGCCATGCTGTTTAACATGCACTTAAATACATGAATCAGCAGCTCAGGGGAGAGGTCCCACTGGAGACGTGGAGCTGGGAATCATTAGCATGGATAAGGTTACCAATGGAGACAGCACAATTAGAGAAACGAAGGCCAAGGAGAGAAACCTGGGGCACTCCACATTGAGAGATTTGGTAGAGGAAGAACCAGCAAAGGAGACTAGAAAGAAGTGCTAGTAAGGCAGGAGAAAATGAAGTATCAGTAAGATGACCACAAGCTTTGTAAGCATGGTTGCCTCTGTAAGTGCGATCTCGGTGGAAAAGAACAGAGAAAGTGGGCAGTAGATGAAGGACGTGGGAACCGGAGAGTTTTTGTTTCTTTTTTTTTTTTTTTTAAAGATGGGTAATATTACTTCGTATAAATGTCTAACCACTATGCTGTCACCTGAAACTAAACTAATATTGACTGCCAACTATAACTGGAAAAATTAAACAATTTTAAAAAAAGGATGATGTTAAGACTTGATTGCATGCATAACGGGACAAGAGCCAGCAGAGTGGGAGAAACTGATGCAGGAGAGAGATAATTGCAGGAGTGTAGCCATAGAGGAACAGGATCCCCAGCGTGAATGATGAGGCTGCCCTTAGGCACAGGAGGGAGGCGGAATAGGTGGGGACAGGTGCAGGCTGTCTGGAGTGTGTGGGGGTGGAAAGATGAGGTAATTCTCAGCTGATTGCATCTATTTTTCCATGGCCATCAAGTGAGGGAAAAGAGCCAATCTGAGGTGAGGAGATATGAAATAATGGTCCCCCAAAATGGGGAAGTTAAGACTACCAAGGAAGTGTGGTAGAATCAAATGCCCCTTTTACGATTTATGGTCATAAATTTAAATTAAGTTCAGCCAACAAATGTAGGTGATCTTTTCCAGCCAGAATCAGCTGGGTAGGTATAGGCGACGATTAAGCACATAGCTGAGTTCAATCAGGCTTAGTTTTGCCAGGTGAGGGAGTAGAGCTGCAAGAATGTGGAAACAGTGCCAGTCTTCCTAATCTAAGCTGCAAGGAGGAAAATGAGGGCATGAGTGAGAGAAGGACCAGTGGCCACGCAATAAATATTAGCAGTGGACGCCTTCATTTTGCTTTACCTTTAATAGCAGTACCTCAGTCAAAAGAGCTAACATTTTCTCTTCTAAATTTAGAATGTTATCATACTGGTGGAATTTATTTAAATCTTACTGTTACATTTTAAAAAATAATTAAATCTTGATAATTTCTTAGAGCAACTTATTCATTTTTTGCTATGTACTTGGAATTTAAAAAGGTGATAGATTTAATGAGCTCCTGGGCTGTACCAACTGGAAGTAATTTAAAACATTTTAATTATAGAAATTTCAAACACATACAAAAGTACAGACTAGTGTAATGAAACTCCATGTTTTAACTCCATGTTCATCTATTTCCTGGAGTATTTTATAGCAAACCCAAGGCATCATAACATTTCACCCGTAAATACTTGGTATGCATTACCTAGAGATAAGGACTTTAAAAAAACATGGGGGAAACATAACAATACCATTATCATACCCAACAAAATTAACAATACCTTAATAGAATTTAACACCTAGTCCAAGCTTAATTTTCTCCATCTCAAAGGTGTCTTTTTATAATTGGCTATAATAAAGCCTTGTATAATCAAATTATTATGAGAAATAGTACCTCTCAAGTATTTGACACTTACTATGTGCCAGATATTGTGTGCTAGGCAGGCAATGAGGTCTACAGTGACAAATACTAAACCACTCCCCCTCTATGAAAACAGATGATTAACTGACTACCCAAGATCAGGTGCCTCAAGAGACAATGATTGGTGGGACTTTCAGAAAAAGATCTAAACTTGCAATAGCTCTTCAGAGATTCAAATGGTTGTGGGGCCTTACTGTTAGGAGCTAGGAATTCAGGTAGAAGCTTCTCTTGCTACCCTGTGGTGCACTGCCAAAAAATAGGGGTAAATAATAGTCTGAATAATTATTCAACATCTCCTGTATAAAATGTACTCATAGTACTGTAAAGACTTCAAAGGTGGAAGGATGAGAAGATCCCAGTTCAAGGAACTTTAACTTTTAGTAGAGAAGATAACATACATACACAAATAACCATTGTACAAAGTGGAAGCCTGCAAGCGCTCAAAGACAGTACTTGAAATTAAACTGTTTAAAAGCACACAGGGCTCCTGGGATTACTGCGGTGGTGGACCTGTGGCTAAGGAAATGAAGAGGAGGGGGCCAGGCACCAAGTCAGTGATGAAAGCTCAGTCAGACAGTGACAGAGAGGAGGGGAATTGCAGGGCTGGGTGAAAAAGGTGAAGGGATTAAGCAAAAAACAAAATTCATAGACACAGACAACAGTATGGTGATTACCAGAGGGAAAGAGGGGTGGGGGATAGATAGAAGAGGGTATGGGGGCAGTAAATGGTGATAGGAGACTTGACTTGGGGTGGTGAACACACCACATACAGATGATGTATTATAGAATTGTACACCTGAGGTCTATATAATTTTATTAACCAATGCCACCCCAATAAAATAAATAAAAAGAAAAAAAAGAATAATTGGAAATTATTCATGCAGATAAAGGCGATAGAGGGAGAAGGGGATCTGAGGCCAAGGGTCAAAATTAGCAAAGGCACAAAGATGGACAAAGGAGTGTTCAGAAAGCAGTCCAGATTGGATGCAGTTTTGGAGAAAAGATTCTAGCCAGATTGCAAAAAGCCTAAGGAATTTAAGCTAAGGTATTAGGCTTTGTTTATGAAGTACTGGGGAACCATACATCATAGTTAAAAAATATCTCCAAAGACACTCCTTTATCATTCAGCCACAACAGATACCTGGGCACTTATTATTTTGTTTAAACCATTTAAAAGCCATAAGAACAAATCTCCAGAGTATACATTAGCATTATATAGGAAAACGCCACTACAATCTAATATAGAACCCCAATCCCAAAATGAATCTCTACATTTCCCCCCCAACATTTTGCAGCCTCGGAGTCAAAGACCTTACAGGTTTGGAAACACTGACACAACAGCGATCAAAATAAACAACGATCATTCCAGATCAAGGCTGAGTTATAAAAATGTGCCTACAGGGCTGGTCCCCTAAAAACCTTTCTTTCGGGTATCCCAATAAAGTAGCAAGAGATTTTGGGTGCTATGACAATTTATATAAGTGTTACTGTTTCGAATTTTCCAAAAGCCATGGCAGTATTTCCGAGACTGCCTAACAATTAATCGGCATTAATGCCAGCGTTACTTGAGCTTTTTTCTGGGCCTGCATTTCGTAATTGATGTCCTGGGAAGTATTACAGAGTACTTCCAATAAAACCAAACCAAACAAACCCTTTTGAAGCCGAGGCCTACGGGAGCCCCCAGAAAAGTCAGTCTCAAAAACAGGTGAAGGTTATGGCTCCCTTTCCGCCCAACTTTTGCAGAGTTTAAGGGATACTCGTGAACCATACCTACTCCCACCCCCACAGGCCGGTCGGTCCCTTCCCACCGCCTCTCCCCGAGGCGGCTCAGCCGACCCCACCCGCTACCGTTCCGTACCCTCAGGTTAGCCCGGAGGCCCAGACTCTTGGCCAAGTTCTGTAGGTCACTGTACTTGAAGGAGTCCAGCTCCTCGAGGGACGGGACGGTCATCGCGATCTGCAATCGAGGTAACCACACAAAGTACCCTCCAACCTCCGCTCCGCAGTTCAAACCTCTGTCGCCGCTAGAAGCGTTGACTACGCCAAGTTTTATACAGTTTAAATTAAGAATGCTGCACTTCCATTGGTTAAAAATGCATCGAAGGCGGGGTTTCATAGCGCTGACCAATAGAAAGGCTGATTCCCAGCCTCAAACGTACATTCTACCTCACGCCTCACCAATCCTTAGGAGCCGAAGGGCGTGTCCAGGCACAGACTGCGCTACAGGCCCGGGCTTATGGTGTCCAATGAAGATGCAGGACACGTGCTTGGGGCGGGGCCTGGTGCTTGTTCGAAATCCTGGCGGCGGCCGCAGAAAGATGGCTGCTCGTCCGCGGCGGCACCGCTCTAGGTACGCAAAGCTGTGGGAGGGTGACTTTTGTGATGGCACTAAGACAATTGACGAACCTTCTTTGACGACTTCCATGGAGTGGGACACGCAGGTGGTGCAGGGGTCCTCGCCGCTTGGTCCCGCAGGGCTGGGGACGGACGAGCCGCCACCCAGCCCGCGGCTGCCGTCGTGGCTGCAGCCCGAGAGGTGCGTCGTGTTCCAGTGCGCGCGGTGCCACGCAGTGCTGGCCGACTCGGTGCACCTCGCCTGGAACCTGTCGCGGTCCCTCGGGGCCGTCGCCTTCTCCAGTGAGTGGGGGCGCTGTCTGGGGAAGGCGGAGGGGGGCCCAAGAGGGTGTTCCCGCTTTCTCTCGGGGCGGCAGAGAGCCGGCTGGGGAAGAAAAACGGGTTAAGATCTGGAAGTTAACCCTTTGCCAGGGATGGGGGCAACTTTTCTTTATTTTTGTGGCCATGATGAGCCTGTCTGGAGGGGAAGGTTTTCCCTTTCAAGGCCTCACCGGTACTCATTCTGACCCGCTTTTTTTTTTTTTCCTTCATAGGAGTTACAAATAACGTGGTTTTGGAAGCTCCCTTCTTAGTTGGCATTGAAGGTTTACTCAAAGGCAGGTACGTACTGAGATTCCTGATCGGTGTCCAGTCCCCGACTTAATGATACTGAGGAGCTGGAATGGTATCTTGGCACTGGAAGAAAAGTATATTCCATCCATCCATTGTATTGGAAGTATGCTCCCTTTACCTGTTTCAGTCTTCCACGAACTTGATGCATCAGTGAATGGACAAGTTGTCTTTGTGTGTAGATTTTAAGATCTTTCTGAGGGCCACATATCCCTAGTGACTTGTGCAAGTGAAGTGAGGCTAAGAAGGTGTGTCTAGAAGAGGAAAAAGGAGAAAATTATATTTTGGTGTATAGTGGGAATAACTTACTAGAAACCACAGTCCTTTGAGATAACTGGGACTTTTAAGTTTGCATTTAACCTGGAGTTTGTAATAAGCAATGGCAGAACTTATTCTGCTGTAACCCAGGAAACTAGGGGGAAAACGCAGTTGAAAGTCAAGTACTTGAATAAGTAGTCGGCCCCCCTTATCTGTGGTTTCGCTTTCCATGGTTTCAGTTACCCTAGGTCAACTACAGTCTGAAAACATTAAATGAAAAATTCCAGAAATAAACAATTTATAAGTTTTAAATCGTGCATCATTCTGAATAGCGTAGTGAAATTTCACAGTGTTCTGCCCTTTGTCCAGCGTATCTATGCTGTATATACTAACTCATGGTTAGTTATGTACTAACTGGCTTGATTATCAGATCAGCTGTTACTGTGTCAGTGCTTGTGTTCAAGTAACCCCGATTTTACTTAATAATGGCTCCAAAATGCAAGAGTAGTGATGTTGCTTATTCAGATATGCCGAAAAGAAGTCATAAACTGTATGAATATATAGGAAAAACATACTATATATATAGAGTTCAGTACTATCCATGGTTTCAGACATCCACTGGGGGCCTTATATTACAAGTCTCCTCAGTTTTGAATGTTGGCTTTAACAGCAAGACAGTTCATTCTGACCAGTTTGGTTCAGTTTTAGGGTTAAAGTATAGGAATACTTAGTCGCTTTAGGTAGTAACCAGGAAGAGTTCTGTTGCTTCTCTTTCCCAACTGAAAGACACTCCTTACCCTTACTGGAGTGTCCTCTTCCCACCCAGAAGGAACAGAGGGAAGGAGTGGTAGCCTGCTTGGAAGTGAATCATGTGGGGCCAGAGGCAGAAGCTCTCTGATACTGTCTTAGAAAGGAGGATAATGTGTCTAGACCCATACTCTCCAATGCTGTGACCACTAGCCACATCTAGCTGTTGAGCACTGTGTTCATTCTGACTTGAGATATGCTGTGAGTGCAAAATACATACTGGATTTGAACACTTGGTACAGAAAATCAATAATTTAGAAGTATTAAATTTCAAATTATATTTTTGATATATTGGATAGCATAAAATATATTAAAACTAATTTCACCTGTTTAAAATTTTTTTTAACAAGATTCAGAGAATTTTAAATTACTTATGTGGCTCACATATTTCTATTGAACAGTACTGATCTAGATGGTTTATAAAACACTGGAGGGAAAGAACCACGTTTTGGGTATTTTTGGAATAAGGGGAGCCATGGGACTTTTCAGGAAGAGATTTGTTATCAGGAATGGCTTCTGCAATTATGGAAGATGAGAAGTCCCAAGAGCTGTTGTTGGCAAGCAGAGCTATTGGGTTAATTCTAGTCCAAGTTCACAGGCCTGAGTGTTACCGGAAAGGGGACTTGGCCCTGAGTGGGTCTGCCTAGCGCCAGCTGCTAGTGTGTGGATTCTTGATGGTGCAGCAAAGATTTCACAGTACAAGTCCAGGTGATTTTTAGAGGACGTTTATTAAAGCTGGGGAAGAGCCTAAGGTAGAAGAAGCTACAGGGGAGGGACTAGGTGGGGAAGTGAGCCTAAGCTGGGCTGCCTTGGCTCATTAAGAAGTCAGAGAAAAGGGGGCCTTGACAGGATCAGGGGGTTAGCTCTGTACGAGCTGCTGCTGCTGCCTCTTGCTGTCTGGTTGCAAGCCTTGTGGGGTCCCTTAGAGTTTAGGAGATGCATGCCTGTGGGGGAAGAAGAGGGGAAAGGGAGAGGTGCTGGCATGCTCCTGGGAGGGAGAGCACGCTGGGACCTTCATTTTGAAGGTTTTTAAAGGGTAGGAGTTTAGGGGAGATCTTAGGGAGGATCGCAATAGAATATTCATCAGTTTTATGCTGATGTGCCCAGATGAAATTTATTTCCTTAACTTCTTCTGTTCTTGGGTGTGGTTGGCAAATGGCACTAATTGGATTTCTGCTATCAATCTCCCTGAGTAGGGTGATTTAAGTTTTTTACCCTCTGGTTGGGGAGAGGGAGAAGTGTAAACTATTTACAGTACTCTTAAGTGTCCTTGGTTATAGAAGATAGGATTTTGTGATTTACTAGATGGCTGCCAACTGCTTGTTTAACTGTCTCAGTTTCCCTATTCCTCTTGTCCTGGCTTACTAGCCTGTCTCAGGAGATCCAAAGGTGTGAATTCCAGTCCAAAAGCCCAGCAGGCTCTTAGACCCAAGAAGAGCCTACATTTCAGTTTAAGTCCAAAGGCAGGATGAAAAACCAATGCCACAGTTCAAGGTAGTCAGGCAAGTGTTCTCTCTTACTCATGAGAGGTACAGGCACTGATGAGAGGAGGGCCACCCACACTAGGGCAATCTGCTTTACTGAGTCTACTGATTGAAGTGTTAATCTTATTCAAAAGCACCCTCACAAACACATTCATAACAATGTTTGACAAAATAACTGGGCACCCTGTGGCTCAGATAAGTTGACACAAAATTTAACCATCACTTATTAACTTGGCACCCACATGAATATCCTAGAACTACTAATCTCCAAACAAAGACAATAACAAGGTCATAATTCTGTGTAACATGGTACAACTATTTTACAATATAACTGAAAATGCACTAACCCCTCTCCAGGTGAAGTCCGTAATTGATGTTTACTTTTTTCCTTGATTTCTCATAACAATACTATTGTGTAAATTTAACAATTGAAGAAAGGGAAGAGCCCTGGCTGGTGTGGCTCAGTTGGTTGGGCATCATCCCTTGCACTGAAAGGTGGACATTTCGATTCCCAGTCAGGACACATGCCTGGTTTGGGGCTCAGTCCCCAGCTCGGGGCATGCAGGAGGCAGCTGATCAATGTTCTGCTCTCAAATTGATGTTTCTCTCTCCCCCTCTCCCTTCCTCTCTCTCTCTAAAAATCAGTTTTAAAAACCTTAAAAAGAGAGAGAAAGGGAAGAAAACAAACATATACACACAAACATTCATAGCAAAATAAAGAGGAAATACGCATGAAAGTTATAGTTCTCAGTTCTGTAACTGGTCACATGGTCATAGCTAGTATTTATAACTACCTTCTTCACTACCCATTCATTGTGTATTCCCTCTGCCTTCAGCAAGTTCTTTAGCCGGTGTGGTGATATAGACCTTCATTTGTGAAGGACCTGGGTCATTAGCAGGCTAATATTCAATGAAATAACTTGTTTTATATTGCATGCATAAGAATTTTGGGATTTCTTTACATTTTGCTTTGTGCTATATATCTGTTTCCATGAGACATTTATCTGTAGGTACTGTGCTTTGTCTGATGTAATTCCTACATAGGAATTAATTCAAATTAATGCAACTTTATTTCATGACTTACATTTTGGTTACCATAGTCACAAAAAATGCAATACTACATATGTGGTGTGGGACTTCATTTACCAGTAAATTTAGTATATTTTGTTGCTTGGTCTTTTTTAGTATCTGTTTTCTAGAATGATTCATTTTTAGCCATCTGATTTTTATACTCTACAGAATTTTACTGCGTAGTATATTATGTTTATACAATTTTTCCCCCCTTAAAATTGTTTTCAGTACAGGCATCCTGAAACATAGTTCATTTTTTCCTAAGACATTTCTTTGTAATATTTGGATGTTCTTATATACCAGCAAATATGGTAAGCGACTTACCCAAGTGGTATAACTAGGAGTAAAATCAACATTTCCCTGTTCTTCATCCAGTGATGTTTCAGAGGGTGAAGGAAAAGAAAATTGATGGCTTGCTAGGATAATAGGATTCCTTAAAGTTTTTTGTTTCATCTGCAAAATAAAAGTCCTGATTTGAATTCTATTAATAAATTTTTTAGTAAGCCCTGGTCAAATTGATTAATGGTAGCTAATTTAAAGGGTCATGTGTAGCCTGGCCAGGGTGCCTCAGTGGTTGAGCATTGACCCATGAACCAAGAAGTCACTGGTTCAATTCCTGGTCAGGGCACATGCCTGGAATTGAGACTTGATTTCCAGTAGGGGGTGTGCAGGAGGCAGCTGATCAATGTTTCACTCTCATCGATGTTTTTGTATCTATCTCCCTTCCCCTGTCTCTAAAATCACTTTTTAAAAATACATATTTTAAAAAAAACATAGTCATGTGTAGTTTTATTTGTTTAAAGGTGATTAGCTTTCTTTCTGCTTTTCATATGTAAATTACTTTTCTCTGTTGAAGTGACAGTTCTGCATCCATGATTTCTTTTGTGACCAGAATGCACAAGGTTATCTGTAATCTAGGGTGTAATTATATTAAAATCTTTGTTAACCTTTCTTGAATGTAACATTACTATAGCATAGTTTTTAGGAATGTTTCCAGGTGCTGGTTATTTTGTATTTGTTTTCAGATTTTCTTTCTTACCCATATTCTGTTTTTCCCCTCTAGCACTTACAACCTTTTATTCTGTAGTTCCTGTGGGATTCCCATTGGTTTCCATCTCTATTCTACCCATGCTGCCTTGGCTGCCTTGAAAGGTCACTTCTGCCTTTCCAGTGATAAAATGGAGTGGTGAGTAGACTTAGTCTTTTTTTAAAAATATTTTTATTGATTAGAGAGGAAGGGAGAGGGGCAGAGAAAGGGAAACATTGATGTGAGAGGGAAGCATCAATCGGCTGCCTCCTGCAGGCTCCCTACTGGGGATCAAGCTCACAACCTGGGTATGTGCCCTGACCTGGAATTGAACCGGCAACCCTTTGGTGCACAGAATGATGCCCAACCAACTGAGCCACACTGGCTAGGGCGACTTAGATTTTCTTTATCAAATTTTCTTTATTTTTTAAAATTTATCTTTATTGTTGAAAGAATTACAGATGTCACCTTTTCTGCCCCATTGACGCCTTCCCCCCCGCCCCCAGGCCTTCACCACACACTGTTGTCTGTGTCCATGGGTTATGCATTTATGCACATAAATTCTTTTGTTAATCTCTTCCCACCTTCCCTCTGAGATTTGTCAGTCTGTTCAGTGCTTCTGTGTCACTGGGTCTGTTTTGTTCATCAGTTTATTTTGTTCTTTAGATTCCACATATAAGTGAGATCATGTGATATTTGTCTTTCTCTGCCTAACTTGTTTCACTTAACATAATACACTCCAGTTCCATCTCTGCTGTCTAGAAAAGGCAGAATGTTCATACCAAAGAAGATGCTAAAGCCAGGCACTGTCTCTTAAAAAAAGATGGTATTGGGATCAAAATATAGTCATTTTAGTTCTCTTTCCCTCTTTTCCTCGCTGTACAATCAATTAAAAATAAAAGCCCTGGCCTATGTGGCTCAGTCAGCTGGAGCATCGTCCTGTACACCAAAAGGTGGAGGGTTCTATTCCTGGTCAGGGTACATACCCAGGTTTTGGGTTCAATCTCCAGTCGGGGCATGTGGGGGAGGCAACTGATCAATGTTTTTCTCTCACCTTGATGTTTATCTCTCCCTCCCTCCCTTTCACTCTCTCTAAAAATCAAGGGAAAAAATATCCTTTGGGTGAGGATTAACAACAAAATAATTAATAAATTATTAAAATAATTTAGTCATTATATTATTAATATAATATAGTCATTTTAGGTGTCTTATAATCATACCAGGTCTTAATAATCATATAATGTAATAATTGAGAGGATATTCTTTTCTTATAGGAACATCTGGAAGTAAGTTTTGTTTTTTTGTTTTAATGTCTATTGATTTCAGAGAGACGTAGGGAAAGGGAGAGAGACAGAAACAATGATGAGAGAGTGTCATTGATCGGCTGCCTCCTACACGCCCCCTACTAGAGATTGAGCCCGCAGCCCAGGCATGTGCCCTGAGCAGGAATCAAACATCCTCAATAGCTGAGCCACGCCGGCCAGGTGCTGGAAGTAAGCTTTTGTAAAATAATGTTGTAAACACTTTATGGGTTTTTGCCTGGTCCCTGTCTCCCTCCCATAGGGTGGGACCTTGTATTGTGGGATATTTGTATCATGTGTGATCCACTCCCAGGTCATGGGATCAAGAATGGATACTTGACCCAAGCCAAGTCAGTCAGGCTTTCTACCCTAGGTACTGAAATAAGGACCCAGAGACATTGGTCATTTGCAGGTGGTACTGATGCTGAAGTTGAGAAGTGAAAGCTCTAGTTTAGGATAGCTATTTTTTACATTATAAATGTAGATACAGAGAAATTTTGTCTGCAGGAAAAGACAAGAAGCAGATACACAAAGAAAAGTAACAAATAATGACCATGTGGCCTCAGAGTCTGAATAAGTACCCTACTCAGAAATTACTCGGGATATTTATTTATCTTTCTAATAAATTCACTTATTAGTTAAACTTTTTTTATTACAACAAACTGAAACATCCGTCAAAGTCTTTCTTGCCCTGGCTGGGTAGCTTGGTCAGAGTGTCCTCCCGATATGCCAAAGTTAAAGGTTCGACCCTCAGTCAGGGCACATACAAGAATCAACCAATGAATGCATAAATAGGTGGAACAACAAATTGATGCCTCTCTCTCTCTCACAATCAGTAGGTTAAAAAAAAAAGTCTTTTCTTGATCATTAAAAACAAAAACTGCCATTGATGACCTAGTTTGTGCCAGGCATTATGCTTACCTCACTGAGTTCAGAAAATAAAACTAAAGCTCAGAGAGGTAGGAGGAAGAGCTGAGATTTGAATCCATGTCTTAACTCCAAAGCTCATTTTCCTTTCATAAAGCATGAAGTTTCCCTTTTCTCATTTAATATGCTTACATAGGTATCTCTAGCTGAGTTATGGATGACTAAGCAATAAAACTTATAAATAAAGCCCATCCTTTACCATGAGGCTGTTCAGTGTGCATTATGTATACCATTTGTTCGTCAATGCAGGTTTTCGAAAGGAAATACATACTTGAGATATACTTCAATTTCTAGTTTCTTCTTACATAATTTCTATTTAGAATTAAGTTTAAAGAGGGGGATAACTAAATGTATGCTATTAGTAACCTCAAATATTTTTTAGAAATAGTTATAAGTAATTTTTTCAGCAGAGTTGTAATTGCGTTTTGCCTAGGAGAAGTAAACGTATAGTAACAAAATTTTAATATAAGTTTGAAAAGCATTATGGGATTATGGGATTCTAAGTAATTTCTTAATCTTTAAAATGAGTTGGACTCACGGTAGCCAGTTTTGCTCAGTGGTTAGAGCATTGGCCTGTGGACTGAAGGGTCCCAGGTTCGACTCTGGCCAAGGGCATGTACCTCAGTTGCAGGCTCGATCCCTGGCCTGGGTCAGGGCACGTGCAGAAGGCAACCAATCAATGTCTGTCCGTCTGTCTCTCTCTCTCTTCCACTCTGAAAAGCAGTGGAGAACGTATCCTCGGATGAGGATTAAATAAATAAATAAATAAATAAATAAATAAATAAATAAAATGAGTTGGACTCAAAGGTCAGTATATTCTTTTTGATTAAGTAGAAATTAGGGAAGTATAGGTAGCATGAGTCTGGGAAGATAATAAATCTATATCTCTTTGCCTCAGGATGAATTTTGTTGCCAGTCAGAGAAAACCCGACCACAGTGGCTTTAACAAAGGATGCGGACAGTTGGCCACTCCAGTTTTCTAGTGGCTCAGTCATGACAGGGCTCTGGGTCATCATCTCTGGTTCTCCTGGCCTTTTCCTCTTGGGTGCAAGGTGGCTGCTACAATTATAAGCATTACATCCACAGACAGTAGCATACCCACCTGGATGGAAAAGGATATGTGAAGTATGGGAATACAGGGAATGGTCTTTTATCAGCACTGTGTCACATGATCACCTAAGCAAGGAAAGCAAGTATGTGACAATAGGGAATAAGATTGCCACAGTAGGCTTAGAAAGTTATGGGTCATCTCCTAGGATGGCACCCTACTGCCCTAAAAATTTTGGTTCTGTTCACACCAAAGAACTGGGGAATGGCTTCTGGGTAGGCAACCAACAGTTATTTGTCATAATATGATTATGTTTCTTCTAACTGTGCTACAGGACCTACTGGTGGAGTGTGAAGTTTATACTCATCATGATGATTCATGTGACCCTGGTTTTTGTCTAATTTCTCCTGGGTTAGTTTTGACTCATGTATGCCTGGCTGGCAAGGGATGGGATAAGGAAGTGTCTCTCTAATGATTTGTTAATTGAGAATTTGTTTTTCTTACAAAATACATTATGAATATTGAAATGGAAACCAGTAAGAAGGCAGTCTTTGCTTGACAGATATTGCTTTAGAGGGCAAGTTTGCTTCTTTGATAATCTTAATTGTAGTATGGTACTAATATTTTCTTTCTCTATTTTCTATCTAGCTATCTCTTAAAAACAAAAGCCATCGTAAATGCATCTGAGATGGATATTCACAACATGCCTCTACCAGAAAAGGTTGCAGAGGTAAAATTTCATAATTGTTTCCTTTAATCTAGACAATTCCTGATAATTTGTGCCAGTGAACTTGGGAGAGATGAAATGATGTGATACTCCAATAATTTTTTTTAATTGATTTTTTTTTTTTCCTATAGAGGGAGGAAGGGGGAGAGAGACAGAGATAGAGACAGAGAGAGATTTCAATGTGCAAGAGACACATTAATTGGCTGCCTCCCACATGCGCCCTGACCCAGGATCAAACCTGCAACCCAGGTACTACACGCCACAACCAGGAATTGAACCTGCGACCTTCTGGTACACAGGACAACGCTACAACCAACTGATCCACTGGGTCAGGGTGATCAACAGTTCATTATTTCCTTTTAAAAAGAATTTAAAAAAAAATCTTCACCCAAGGATATGTTTTTATTGATTTTAGAGAGAGAGAAACATCAATAGGCTGCCTCCTATATGTCCCCCAACCTGGGATCAAATCTGCAACCCGGGTATGTATGTGCCCTGACCAAGAATTGAATCTGCCACCTTTTGGTGTATGGGATGATACTCCAACCAACTGAGCTATTCGGCCAGGGCAGGTCTTGTTTTCTTATCCATTCAGCCACCCTGTCTTTTCATTGGAGCATTTAACCATTTACATTTAAAGTAATTATTGATACATGTATATAGTTATTGCCATTTTATTATTGATTCCCCCCCAAAGGACCCTTTGACATTTCTTGTAATACAGGTTTGGTGGTGATGAATTCCTTTAGCTTTTTCTTGTCTGGGAAGAGCTGACTTTATTTGAAATTGTGTGGGGAAGTTCAAGTCTAAGGGTACTGCCCAAAACAATGGAGATTTTGGTGGTTAGCAATTAAAAGGAGGCTGGTATTCCATGAGAGCAAGAAGCTATACCTTAGACTAGTTTATGACAGAATCAGGGAAATAGCTAGGAGCAGCCCTGCTGGAGTTAGAACAAAAAAGGGCTGGCTTTAATAAAGACCATCCCTAGAAAGTATCTGAATTTAATTGGATTAGACTGTTGAGCAATTTGTGTCCCAGGGCATCATCAAAAACAATAGAGCAATCAGCCAGCAGTTGATGGAGGCTAACAGCTGGGTGTGATGCTAATGGAGGCAGACAGCCTATAGAGACCAAGGAAAGAGACAGCCCTGCTAAAACCAGTCATCCCAAGGCAACTGCATATGCCCAAGGCTCTATTCTCCGAGGAATGACATTAGGCTGCCCAGTGAGGGAAAGAGGCATCAATAAAATAGTCTAGCAAACTCACTAAAACAGATAAGCAAACCACCATCACGAGAAGGTATGTGTGTTGTGATTAGTATCCAGAGTTGCTACAATATAATATCTAAATTGACAAGTTTCAATAAAACACTAGGAGACACAGAGAAAATCATGACACATACACAGGATAAAAAACAGACATTAGAAAGTACCTTTTAAAGGGCCCAAATATTAGACTTACAAGACAAAGCCTTCAAAGCAGCTATTATAGCCCGGCTGGGCGTGGCTCAGCGGTTGAGCGTCGACCTAGGATCCAGGCGATTGGGGTTTGATTCCCGGTCAGGGCACATGCCCGGGTTGCGGGCTCGATCAATGACTTTCTCATCATTGATATTTCTCTCTCTCTCCCTCTCCTTTCCTCTCTCTGAAATCAATAAAGATATAAAAAAGCAAAAAAAAAAAGCAGCTATTATAAATAGGTCCAAAAAACTAAAGAAAACCATGCTTAAAGAAGCAAAGGAAATGTGTGATGACAGTGTCTCATCAAATACAGGATATCCCTAAAGAGAGAGAAATTATAAAAAAGCACCAAATAAAAATCCTGTGATTTGAAAAGTACAATAACTGAAATGAGAGGGTCTCAACAGATTTGAACTGGCCAAAAAAGAATCACCAAACTTGGAGATATAGACTGATGACCTTCTACAATCTGAGGAGGAGAGAAAAAAGAATGAAGAAAAATGAACTGAGCCTGAGACCTGCTTTGGCAATGGGGTATAAAAAAGAGAGGAGAGAAAGAAAGAAGTAGAAAAAATATCAAGGAAATGTGGTTGAAAACTTTTGATGTTTGATGAAAAACATTACATATTTGAAACCTCAACAAGCTCAGGAAGGATAAATGCAGAGAGATCTATACCTCAGTACATCATAGTAAAAATGTTGAAATATGGAAAAAGAGAAAAATATCTTTAAAACAAAGTGATTCATCACGTCCAAGACCACCCCAGTAAGATTAACAGGCCCTAGAGTTACCTGTTTAAGCAAATTTTCTAATGAGTTTTGTATATTCTTCTATCTTGAGTCATAAAAAAGTGGACTTAGTATACTGTGCAAATCTCAGAAATACGATTTTTTAAAAATTAACCCTGACTTCAACAGATAACTGTTATTCATTATTCTGTATTCCATGATAACTTTATAAGTTTATTTATGAGTCTAAGTACATGTTGTATGCTGAGTATCACCAGTTTGTTTCTAGATACAACTATTCTATGGTGAAAGAACTATTGGAAATTATCGAATTGCAACAAACATCTCTTCTAAACGTGACAACTAGAGCTACTTCTGGAGACCATTAGAATATTAAAGGCATTTTGAACTATGAACAAAGAGTTAGAAAAAGGAGAGGAAAACTAGCTGATGCATCTGTCTCCACATGCTCTCTTACTCATTTTATTCTTGTCTTCCCAGTTTTTGGAGTTTTTTTCTTTTTTAAATACACCTTTATTGATTTCAGAGAGAGGAAAGGAGAGGGAGAGAGAGAGAGAGAGAGAAACATCAGTGATGAGAGAGTCATTGATCGGCTGCCTCCTGCATGCCCTCTGCTGGGGATCAAGCCCAAAACCCAGGCATGTGCCCTGACCAGGAATCAAACTGCCATCTCCTGGATCACAGTCGATGCTCTGCTGCTGAGCCACGCTGGCCAGGCACAGTTTTTGGAGTTTAAACTTAGTGATAGAGGTAGGAAGGAGGGAAACAGAAGCAGTGATGCTTAATAATGGCTGGTCTTTTTTTACGTGAAAATCTTTTTTTGTAAGCTGTGTTTTGTTTTTTTTCCAATATATTTTTGTTGGTTTCAGAGAGAGGAAGTGAGAGGGAGAGATAGACACATCAATGATGAGTGTCATTGAATGGCTGTCTCCTGCACACCCCCTGCTGGGGATTGAGCCTGAAACCTGGGCATGTGCCCTGACCAGGAATTTAACCTCAGTCTCCTGGACCATAGGTCTGTGTTCAACGGCTGAGCCACACCGGCTGAGCTCATGTGAAATTTTATATCTGAGGATCTTAGTGTATTCTTTGTTGCATAAACTTCTTTCAGAAATAGAACAAATGTATTAATGAAATTTGAGACATTTCCACCTCCCAATCACTAGCTTGAAGTGACTTCTAGAACTAGCAAATTGAGCATTAAGATGTCCTAATACGTATGTATTTCTCTTCCCAGCTGAAAGAGAAGATAATATCAATGCATACTCACTTAAGTTCACTGATGAAGATGCTGAAGGAAGTGACTCCTGACCATTCCAACCCAGAAAACTGACCCAGAATGGGAACTTGAGTATCAGGGTCAGGCCTTATTGCCATCTTGAAAGACAGGTGCTGTTTGATCATTTCTTGAGAAAGATCAACTTCAGGAATGGACAGGAAATATAGTTTATTATATTTACAGCTAGGCTGTTTTTCCAAGTGATTTGTAAAGCTGTTTATAGAAAGGAGCTTTCTGTCCAGGTTTCATAGCTATTTGACTTCAGAAATTATTTTAGTTTTCTTATTGGCTTTGTAGTAATTTCTGAAAACATCTTTAACTGCATATTTAGGGATTAAGAGGCAATGTGCCATGAATGCTCTATCCAAAGATGTATATGAAAATAAAGTTGTACTTAATGTTCACTACTGTGATTCCTACATGGAGCGGTTACATGAATAGCTGTAACTATGATGTAACATTTCAATTAGGTGATAAAGTTTGTATATTCTGCATTTTCTTAAGGCTATTGTCAGTTGTTTTTTCTTAAAATGTGTAAATAAATTCCTGTGTTTTTGCTTATTGAGCTTTCATTACAGCTTAGAGCAGCCTTTTTCATGTGAAGGGGCTGCTGGTGCCAGCCATGAGCTGTAAGTCCACAAATTACTGTTTGAAGAGAGAGAGCATCTGAACAAGGGGAGGAAACTTGAGAAAGAGCTGTGTGACTCCCCTTGAGCCCTTGCCTCCCTTTCCCTTGCTCCCTCTTCCCTTTCTCAGGAGAAGTGGCATGTTCCCACTCCCCTTCAGTTCTCCCTCCCTTTTCTACAGGGAGAGACAGAACATCCACAGCCCCTCCCCCTGATCTCTTAGTTATGCTTTCTTATAAAAACCTCTGCCTGCGCTGAGATGTTAAGGTGGGTTTTTGAGGACAGAAGTCCCCCCATCTTGAGTTGCCAGCAACTTGAATAAACCACTTTCATTCTCATTACCACCTGTCTCATGTTTGATTTTCGAAGCTGGGATCTGGGAGCCGGGTCATTTTATTGGTTTCATACTGAGAATCTTTTTTTTTTTTTTTTTTATGTAAAATACAGGTACTTACATAGGTGCTATTCAATAATACTATACAATTTTTCTCTCTTTTCAGTTGGAAACTGAGCTTAATAAGGTAATAAAAGAAAGGAATAATGAAATATCATTCACTGAAATGATTTTTCATATTTTGCTTTACATAGCACTTTGGCTTATAGCACCTGTAGTAAGGGTTTAAAGAGAAGAGACCTCTGGGTCACTCTGGTTGAACGTTGACCTATGAACCAGGAGGTCATGGTTCAATTCCCACTCAGGACACATGCCCAGGTTTCGGGCTTGATCCCCAGTAAGTGGTGTGCAAGCAGCAGCAGATCAATGACTGTTATTGATGTTTCTATCTCCCTCTCTCTGAAATCAATAATTTTATACACACACACACACACACATGAAAAGAGATGAGACAGAGAGTTATAAGCCCATGTAGCAGGTAACTAAACTGGTCTGAGGGTCAAGGAAGGCCTGAGGAATGAAGTTTCAGCAGTGGTCTGAAAGGTAAGTAGGAGTGAATAAGGTGGTAGGGGGAACAGCCTGTGCAAAGGTCCTATGAAGCCCTTAGAAGAAGGCCTACAGGAGTTCTGGTGGCCAGAGACCAGAAGGTACAAGGCCATACTAGATTCCAGAAGGATGTCTGTTTATCCCAAGAACAATGGGAAACCCTTGAAGAATTTTAGAGGAGGCTTATGACAGGATCAAATGTTCTTTTTCAGAACCTCATTATGGGTGGGAGGGAAGGCAACCTGCCACTAAAGAGGGGCTAACACTAGCACAATCAGATGATATAGCCAAGCAGTGGTGCATAGAGAAGTTAACTTGGTTCAGATGTAGCTAGGTTTTTTTTTAATCACTCGAGGATATGCTTATTGATTTTAGAGGGGGGAGAGAAATGATGTGAGAGAACACTGATTGGTTGCCTTCTGTAAGTGCCCTCACTAGGGATTGGAACCACAACCTAGGTATGTACCCTGACCAGGAATCAAGCCAGCAACGTACCGGTATACAAGGCAATGCTCCGTCTGAGCCACACTGACCAGGGCCTAGATATATTTCTTATAGTAGATTCTTTCCATTTTATACTGTACAAAGGATAGTTCCCTTTAAAAATATTTTAAACTTGAAAATTCTGATTTATGCTTTTGAGTTGCAAAATTTTGTTCTATAAGCAAGGGTGAAGCCTCTGTCAACAAACAGTACCAGAAAATTAATGCTATATTGAATCATCCGTGGGTTTTTTATTGTATGTGGATGTATCTGCCTCAATATATTTCCTTTATCTAAATCAAAAGGCTGTTCCTATGTAGCTATTTTAACATCTGGATTTGCATTTTGGTAGACTTTCAATAAAAAGTTAAATGCTTGAATTTGGCATCAAATCAAGATGCCTGGTTTTTAAAAGATTTCTTTTTCCAAATTATAGGCTCACTCTAGAAAAGCATGCAGATACAGAAGTGTAACAAAATAAAGGGTGTGTACTTCCCTTTCCATTTTTGAGAGGCATTAATATAGCATGCTGGGAAGTGGGCAAGCTCTGGAGCCCCAAACTATTTGGATTCAAATTGTGCCTTGGGTACTTATTAGCCATGAACTTGAAGAATTTACTTAAACTCCTCTTGTAAAAAAGGGATTAAAAACTAGAGGTATAGTCATTAAAACAAGTTAATGAATACACCTAAGGTAATTACAACAGTGTTTAGTACATAGTAAAGTGCTCAATAAATACTAGCTATTATAACCTTCATGTGTGTGTATGTATATACATGACATAAGCCAAAGGCAACTATATATACATACGTACATTATATATATATATATATATTTTTTTTTTTTAAATCCTCGCCCGAGGGTATTTTTTCCATTGCTTTTCAGAGAGTGGGAAAGAGAGAAACATCAGTGTGAGAGAGACACATCCAATTGGTTGCCTCCTGCACGCGCCCCAACCAGGGGCTGGGGATTGAGCCTGCAACTGAGGTACATGCTCTTGGCCGGAATAGAACCCAGGACCCTTCAGTCCTCAGGCTGATGTTCTAACCACTGAACCAAACTGGCTAGGGCAAGGTAAGTGTATTTTTAACATTCTGCAACCTGCTTTTCACACAATGTTAAGGACAGCTTTCTATACCAGCCCATACACAAATTATTTCATTGGGTTTTAACATTTGCCTATGATTCAATTATATGAATATATCAGAATTTAACCATTCTTATATTGGATCCTTGTATATATCTTTGCATATTGGTACTGACATTTCTGTAGGAGTGACTCCTAAACTGAGACAGAGTCAAAGGGCAATGTGCAGTTACAATTTTGATATTACACCATCTGTAAATATCAAATTACACTTGTTCCCTAATTTACTGCACTAATTGATATAAGTAGTTGACTTTTTAAACATGCTTTAGGTGGTATAAGAGTTGATAGAGTGGCTGATATTAACAGATTCTAAGGCTCCTATACTAAAGTTTGATACCATTTAGCATTGTCTATATGTTGAATAAAATTAGTTTCAGAGTTTTATTTTATGAAAATAAAATTGCATATTGAAGTTCCCCCTGAGTTGTAAACTTTTGAGTTCCTTAATTAACAGTAGAAACCATCTTCATTATTTTAAGCCCAAGATATAGCCCAGTACCTGGGAGTGAAGTATATCAGTAAGTATATGTTAAATGAATGGTTTCATAAATCAAAGGAACTACTGCATTAGTAAGTCACACCACAAAAACCACACAGCTTTTGTTCCTCTGCATTTACAATATTCAATCCCAAGGAAGTTTGTAAGGTCTAGTATTTTACCTGAGAAAACTCCTTTCCTTTCACCTTAATCAAGGAAAAGGATATCTTCTTATAATATTAAAATCTCTTTAGTTAAAACTTAGCCAACATTTAAATATCAAATATAAAAGGATCTTAAATGCTTTATATATTTCAGATAGGGTTTCCTGCAATAGTATCATTATTGTACTTAGTTTACTATTTCCTTACCAGAAATATTTGCTCACAGACCTAGAATAAAGTTGACCCCCAAAAAGGGGAATGGCATAAATTTAAATGGGATGTCTCTTGGCAAGCTCTCCCTCTCAGGAGCAAGCCTGTCCCTTTGCCTTCTTCTTCCCCCCAGTAGTTACCTTTGTCTTTCTCCTAATCCCCAAGGACCCTTCTGCTTCAGTGGCATGTTTCCTGAGCCTACGCAGCCCAGCTTGCTCACTTCTGCTACCTCTGTCTAAATAAACTTTCTCTTACAATTTGAAAATAGATAAACCAGTAAGAAGCCTCTTTCTTCTAATTGCAGCTTGTTCCCTTGGACACCAGAAACCATGACTCGGGTATCTGGAGCCTACTTCAGCACAGGCCTGTGGATAGGTTCCTTTTCCCATCTTCCTAATTTACTGCATTATTAGAAATTACCCATTTCAAGGAACAACACAGTGAAATTTCAGTGCATTCTCAGCCCATGCTGCTTTATTGCCAAAAAATATATATACACAGGTGCAGAGTTTCCAACTCTTAAAGCAGTTCCTTTTTACATCAAAGAATAAAATCTTTTCTAAAATCCCAAAGATGCATAGATTAAAAAGCAAGCTGCCTTTTGTAATACTTTAAACATTCAATGAAATTCTTTTAACATTATCGTCTACAGACTCTATACCAATGGTGCAAAGGAGAAGATGCAGAATAGCAAGTAACAACAGTGAGCAACAACTGTACTTAAAAGGAACAGACAGTACATAAAACTCGGTGTGAACGGTACTCTAATATGAATCTTCTAAATTACAAGCGATGGGTGATTTTAAGGTAAGCGCCAAGATGATTACTGTTGTTTAAGGACTGATGATAATGTATTGCCTGAATACCTTTATCCCTGGGAGAAAAATATATTTTAATCGATGGCATGGCAGACCATCACCACAGGAGACAAAATGTTTTGAAAATTATCAGTAACCCTAAAATATCTATTTTGACTTAAAAGGAGGCTTAGGAGTGAGTATGGATGGGTTCCTGGAGAAATCTGTGACGTTTGTTTTTCTAATAACTTTTAATATGCCTCAGTGGAATGGGAACAGAGTTTACAGAAACTGTCCTTAAATCTTCATCGGGTTCACTGGTTGACAAGTATGTTATTAATAAGTGGTAAAGAGAAAATTTACATATGGGATATGACATCTCACTTCCTGTATTTGGGTGGAAACCAAACATTGCGATGACTATACCTTCTAATTCCACTCTAAACTACTGAAAAGTTACCATTACACTTAAACATTTTCAAACATTATCTGGAGTGAAATCTCACAGCAAAGCATCTAGTCTAATCCTGTTTAGGCTTCTTTCTGGTATAATTACTTCCATTTATATTATTCATCAAAATCACTTGGACTTATAAGGATTATTCCAAAGTTAGGAATCATCTAAAAATTTTTAAGCTACTATAATAAACATAAATGTGAAAACCTGCTCCTGTTTACCTGGTATCAAAAGCTTTAGGCAAGCAACAAGAGCATTTTGAGATCTTGCTTCCCAGCATGTCGCCAGTTTGGTTTAAATAAACTCTTATTTAAAAAAAAAGCTTTAGGCAACAAATTATGCAGTCTGACCAAAACACCAAGAATAAAACTCTGGCTATTAAAAAATAATAACACAAATGTCAATGTAATACAGTAACAAAAGAGAAACCAAATCATAGATATGTTAATATTTTCAGGACTATTTCCACAAAATGAAAATCTCTTTTGCTACCGGGATCCTTTGATCCTTTATGGCTGGTCAAAACCAATATGACCTAGAAGAGTTCCCTAGTTATCTGAAAATCCTGAAACATGAAATATGTGCAATTGCCTCTGTTCACTGCCAAGATACTAGTTATGAGATGCAAACTTAAGCCACATAAACTTTATCAGACAAACCCC